TATATATATATGAAAACCCCACAGCTGACATCATACTCAACTATGAAAGACTGAAAGTTTTTACTCTAAGATCAGAAACAAGGTGAGGATGCTTCCTTTTATCACTACCAGTCAACAGAGTACTAGAATTCCTAGCCAGAGCAATTAGACAAGAGAAAGAAATTAAAAAGCACCTAAATTGGAAAGGAAGCAAAATTATCTCTGATCACAGATTATATGATCTTATATGTACAAAACCTTAAAGACTCAACAGACACACACACACACACACACACACACACAAATACACGGTTACAATTAATAATTTTAGCAAAGTAGCAGGATACAAAGTCAACACACAAAAATCAGTTACATTTATATACACTACCAATAATTAATCCAAAAAAGAAATTAAGAAAATAATCCCATTTACTATAGCATCAAAATGGATAAAATATTTAGGAATAAACATAACCAAGGAGGTGAAAGACTTGTACATTGAAAACTCTAAAGCATTGCTAAAAGAAAAGAAAGAGGATACAAATGAATGGAGATATCCTCTGCTTATGGATTGGGAGACTTAATATTGTTAAATATGTACACTTTTCAAAACGATGTAAAGATTCAGTGCAATCCATATTAAATCCCAGTGGCATTTTTTTTCTACAGAAGTAGGAAAAAAGTCCTAAAATTTATATGGAATCTTAAAATATTCCAAGTATCCAAAACAATCTTGAAAAAGAACAAAATTGGCAGCCTCACAATTCCTGATTTCAAAACATAATACAATGAAACACTAATTAAGACAGTGTGGTACTGGTATAAAGGCAGATGTATAGACCAACAAAACAGAATAGAGCCCAGAAACAAACCCGTGCATATATACCCTAATAAGTTTTGACCAAGTTGCCAAGACTAGAAAATGGGGAAAGGACAGTCTCTTCAACAAATAGTATTGGGATACCTGGATATCCAAATGCAAAAAAAAAAAAAAAAGGAGTTGGACTATTACCTTACACCAAATACATAAATTAAAATGGATTAAAGACCTAAATGTAAGACCTAAAGCTATATACACTTCCTAGAAGAAAACAGCAAAAAAGCAAGACATTGGAGTTGGCGATGATTTCTTGAATATGATACCAAAATTACAGTGAACAGAAACAAAAATAGCCTACATCAAACCTAAAAACTTCTATATGTCAAAGGAAACAATCAGAGTAAAGAGGCAGTCTATGAAATAAGAGAAAATATTTGCAAATCATATATCTGATAAAGGATTAATATCCAGACTATACAGAGATTTTCTACAACTCCACAAGAAAACAAATAACTGGATTAAAGAGTAGACAAAGGGGGTGCCTGGGTGTCTCAGTCGGTTAAGTAGTTGACACTTGGTTTTGGCTCAGGTCATGATCTCAAGGTCCTGGGATAGAGCCCTGCTCTGATACAGTGCGTCAGGCTCCATGCTCAGTGGGGAGTCTGCTTGTGGATTCTCTCTCTCCCTTTGTCTCTCCCCTGGCTCGTGCTCTAATAAAAATAAATAAAAATCTTTTTAAAAAAATAAATAAAAGGGGCGCCTGGGTGGCTCAGTTGTTAAGCGACTGCCTTCAGCTCAGGTCATGATCCCAGGGTCCTGGGATCGAGCCCTGCATCGGGCTCCCTGCTCCACGGGAAGCCTGCTGCTCCCTCTCCCACTCCCCCTGCTTGTGTTCCCTCTCTCACTGTGTCTCTCTCTGTCAAATAAATAAATAAATCTTTAAAAAAAAATAAAAGATTTATTATTTATTTATTTGAGAGAGACCAAGTGAGAGAGAACACAGGCCAGGGGAGAGGCAGAGGGACAGGGGCAAGCAGAGCCCCTGCTGAGCAGGGAGCCCGATGTGGGGCTCGATCCCAGGGCCTGGGATCATGACCTGAGCCAAAGGCAGATGCTTAACTGACTGAGCCACCAAGTGCCCCTAAATAAATCTTAAAAAAAAAAATTAAAAATAGGCAAAGGACTTTAATAGACTGTTCCAAGGAAAATATACAAATGGTCAACAAGCAATTGAAAAGATACTTAACATCACTGATTGTAAGAGAAATGCAAATCAAATCAATGAGATATCACCTCATACCTATTAGGATGGCTACTATCAAAACAAGGAAATGAGTGCTGGGGAAGACCCGGAGAAATTGGAACCATGTTGATAGCAATGTAAAATGGTGCAGCTGCTATGAAAAGTAGCATATAGGTTCAACACACTAAATGTAAGAGTTGCCACTGACTCAGCAATCCCACTTCTAGAAATATATCAAAAAGAATTCAAAGCAGGATCTCAATGAGGTGTTTGCACACCCATGTTCACTGCAGCATTATTTACAGTAGCTGAGAGGTGCAAACAACCCAAATTCCACCAACAGATGAATGGATAAAGAAAATGTGGTTCATACAGACAATGGAATAGTTTCAGTGTAGCAAGATGAAGTAGTTCTAGAGATCTGTTACACAACAATGTGAATGTTGTACACACTACTTAACACTACTAAACTATAGACTTAAAAATAATTAAGATGGTAAATTTAATGTTATGTGGGGTATTTTTTACAGTAAAAAAATTTGAGCTATTATTACCTTTTAGACTTTCCTTTCCCTATGAATATACACTCTCCCCCCAAATTGGACCACATTGTATGTACAATTTTATAACACGCTTTTGCCCAATGACTACAGAATAAACGCCTTTCCAAGTTATTCCCTATTCTTTTCGGTCATTTAGAAAGGTTGTCTAGTATTCCAATATATGAATCTACCACAATTAAAGGATTTCCTGTTGCTGGACATTAGATTGAATTTTTTTTATCCCTATGAATAATATTGTGTAGCCAACTCATGCTATGCCTTTTAAACAGTGTTAATACCAGCTGTTTTCTCTCTCCTCTTCTAATCAGCTCTCAGTTATTACACTCCTTCCCTTCTAATCTCTGATGAGATAACCAAGCTAGCTAAATCAGTTTACTTGTAATAAAACCTTGTTTGCAGTTCTGTCATTTGCTCCCATACTAGGTAAACAGCTGTTGCAGCAGATGCTAAAGGAGGCGGTTTTTGCTTATTTGGGGGTCGACTTTCCAGTTAGACCCGCTCTCCCAGAATTGGTTCTTGCCTCACTGAATAAATCCAGATGGTGGCACACGCTCTTGCGGTTGCTTTTCCCCCCTTCCACTCAGTCTACCTGGCCACCACCTCACTGGTACCTGTTTCTGATTTTCTGAAGCCCCACTGCCCCTTAGCTAGGTCTAGGAGTTCAGGCCTTCTTGGACTCCTGATACCAGTGTGCATAAATACTGCTGGTTTCTACTTTGTGAACTCCTTTGCTTTAGTTTCTCACACTTTTAGGTAACCCGTAGCACTTACTTGTGCTTTTTGACAATAGCACTACTTGATCACCTTGGATCTAAGTTCACCACATTGTGTGTGTGTGCGTGTGTGCGCACACGTGTGCATACACACACACACACATAAAATAGGCTTCAACAATTACAAAACTCCCAAATCGCATATTACTAAGTAGCCTAAATGCAGCTAGATAGGCTCCTGTTTCCCAAACTTGCTTATAGAATCTCATGAAACACTTGGTAAAAAACACATCCCCAGGCCTAGCCTAGTGGATATATTATTCTGGATATGTAATTTAACAAATACCCCATGAAATGCTCATAATCAGGCAAATTTAGAAACCCTACATCCTTAATTTGTATCCTCAGAGCCTCCGGGACACTGGGAAGTTCAACTGGGACCCACAGGAGACTGGTAAGCCTGGTAGCATAGGGTTTATTCCATCATGTAGGAAAATCCTAGGAGTGAACCATAAGTTGGAATAAACATTGGAAAGTCTTTAGAGCTTGAGACCAAAGCAGGAACTTAGGATCTTTTTACTCTTTCTACACCAAGGATGGTTTCAAACATACACCCCTGGGCTACAGATTCCATCCCAAATTTGGGGTTTCCATAAATGTTAGCTGGGAGTCATATAGTTCTTTGAAAGAAGTAACATAGAATCTGGATCTTCTGAGGACTGAATTCTTTGCATAAACACAAATCATTTGGGGTGCATATCTTTTATTAGGTAAGGTTCTATTTTCACATTAAAAAGTCAGCTCAATCCCAGATCTATGTCAGGTAACTGTTCTGTAGTGTGAGCTATGTCATTATTGAGGCTTGAGAGAGAACAGAACTCTGACACATAAGCCTCAACTCATGACAAGTCTTTGGCTTCTTGGATCAACTATATGTAAGATATACAAGATATTATTCTCTCTATCTGAGGGCACAGGGAGATCGAAACATGTCTGAGAATTCTAATAGAAGCTCACCAGAGCTGGTGAATCCTGACCCCACCACATACAGTATTTATTCACATGAGACCACAATTTCCATTCCTCTTAAAATCTGCCAACTTGATGGGATAATATGAGGAATAAACAGAATTATACAAAAGTTAGGCCCTGATAAAAATCAGTCTAAAATTGTTGAAGAAAACTCAAATGGTGGTCCATGAGAGAGTCAAAATTGGAGGGGTCACAAAATTATGAAGGTAAAATGCCTTTTGTAGGTCTGAAAAATAAAAAGAAGAAGTTTAAAAACTGTTATTTCTCTAAGAGAATTTTCTTTAACATGAAGGATAGTCATGCTACTGATGTTTATTTGGTAAGTAAGCGAAATACTTAAGCATTTTTTCCCCTAATGGCTTTAGAAATATTCTCCTTCCAAAAAAAAAAAAAAAAATGTTTAAAGGTAAACCTCTAAAGGGTAAGACAGTAAAGTTATATAGATGAGAAAAGCACTTTATTCAGTGCACACTGACAGTTTTTTTCAATTCCATTCATAATTAAAGTAAAAAAAAATCTTGTGGAGTATTTTTTATGCTTTACTTAGAAAAAAACATTGATTTTCAAGACCCCTAAAGTTATTAATGAAAGCTTATATTCCTTTTAAGTATATATGTACATATATACATACATACGTATATATTTGAACTACTCAAAGCAATTTTAGACAAATCACTCAAAACAATTTTAAGAGCTGTTCTTTTCTGTATTTAAAATTGTCCTTTCAAATATTTACAAGTTCCGCAGGTGGTGGCTTTAAAGGAATTTTTCCCAGAGTAAATTTCTTGGATTGAAATTGTTCTAGCTCTTCTGCTGTTAATTGATCCCTGGGTGTGAATAATTCATTATCTGTTGTGGTGCTGCCATTTGAGACTGGGAGAGAGGTGGATATGCTACTATTTCCAAAGGTGTCACTAGATGACTTGGAAAAAGCAGTGTGAGAATGTGAGCCTAGACTACCAAAACCAGCCATAGACGTGCCACTTCCAAAGGCTGGGGCCCCTGGAGCTCCAAAAGAGCCTGCTGCCATGGAAGCTGGAAATCCTGAAAATCCAGGTGATCCCAAACCAGAAGCTGCAGGACTTTTAAAAGAAAATGAAGCAGCAGATGTGACTGCAGGTTTCCCAAATCCAAACGTTGGAACAGAAGTAGTGATGGCAGAACTGGCAGAGGATGCAGCTCCAAATGCTGGAGTATTCCCGAACACAGGAGGACTTCCAGAAGGGGCAGAGGCAAATCCAGAGCTTGGTTTAAAACTAAAATTCTGAGCATTAGCACTGCTGCTGTTATTCACTGGAAAACCTACAAAAACCAGAAAAAGGAAAAAATAACCTATTATAGTCAGAAAATGTAGCCATATTAACCACTCCTTTTTTTTTCTTATTTCTGCCACATCTGAATGTTGAGAAGCTTATTGGATGGAAGGAAAAGTGAAAATAAGAAGCTAGAACAAACTCACAAAACCCTGTTGTCCTATCTTTCTGCTGTACTGATCTCATTTACCATCCTCACTCATGGAGACAGCTTTGAGAAACCTCTGGGATTAGCAGGTGGACTTTCACTTTCTGCCTCAACTCCAAATAAATCAGCTACATCCATTATCAAAGAAGTAACTCTTTCCTTAGCTATATTCGTTTAAGCAAATGCAGAGTGGTCACTTCATCTCAGTTTCCTCCTGTATAAATGGGAGTGATTCTCAAGCCCCTTCCAGCTCTCAACTAAGATGAATCTGATGAAATCCCACTCTAATAATTGACATCTCAAGTTTTTGGCTAAAATTTTTCCTGAGCTGCCATTTTTATTTTTATACTTTTTATGACAGTTCAAACTCCTCAGTCCTAATTTGCCTTTTTGTCTCTGAGAACCACTGGGTTACCCGTGTATCCTAACTTAAAACAATTTTTCTTTTAAACTAAAAAAGAAAACAAAAAAAAAAACAAAGCGATGCAGTATTGTCACTTAAGAATACTATACTGTTATACACAGTCAAAAGAAGGTCCTCAAGGTGCTGCTACCATAGCTATTATGTATTCCTATAAAACTTTTGAAAAACCATTCCTAAAATATACTTTGAAAGCTGGAGCCATAGGGTCTTTCAAAAAAACGTGCCCAGTCTGACCCCTATTTTACAAATGATTGATGAGCCAAATTCTTTGAAGCTCCATTATAGAAGGTAGGAGAATCTGCAAGGATGATTTAAAAATCACTTAAACAGAGGGAGGAAGATGGTGGAGGAGTAGGAGACCTTAGTTTTCTCTGGTCTCTGGAATTCAGCTAGATAGCTATAAAATCATTCTGAACACCTGTGAACTCAACTGGAGATCTAAGAAAAAAATTGCTGCAATTCTACAAATAGAAAAGCGACCAGTTTCTGCAAGGTAGGAGAGGCAGAGAGGTGAATCCGAGGCGATGTATCCAAAGATAAACCGCGGCGGGGAGGGAGCCTCCGCAAGCTAGCTATAGGAAAGTGATATAGCAGCGGAGCGCAAAATGGGAACTTGTAGAAGTCTGCTCAGGTGAGGGACATCCCTGCCCGAAAGGCGCTCAGATGGTGAAGCTGGGCGGAATCCTAGGTGGGACAGTGTGATCTCAGGATCCCAGGGGGCAAAGGAAGACCAGGGGGGCCTGAGTGTGGCAGAGTTTCCAAGCATCAGAGCCACGAAGCTGGCTGCAAACAGCGAGCTCAGGAGTGGGCTTTCTGCTTAGTGTTCCCACAAAATGTGAACCGTGGCGTGGTCAGGCAACCATTCTCTGAGCAGGGGCCCAGCAAGTGGGAGAACTGTGGCGAGACCCCCCTTTTTCCCCAGGGAGGAGGGGTACAGGTGCAAGCTGCAGGAGTCTGCAGGGTTTGGAGACTTGAAACAGAGTTGCGTGCCTGAGATACAAACACTTGGTCACAGGCTGGGTGAGCACAGAGTGCTGACAGAGACCAGGGAGACAGCTTTTCCCTGAGGGTACACTGAGGAGCGGGGGGTGTGAGCCTTCAGCTCCAGGGTTAGACTGGGAGACTGCCATTTTCATTCTCATCCTCTAACGCAGCATGGAAAGCCGTCAGGGAACAAAAGCCACATAGAGCAATCTGGAGCACTTACACTTAGCACGGCCCCCTGGCAAGGGCAGTGCAATTCCATCCAGGAGAAAGACACCTGAGAATCAGCGCAACAGGCCCCTCCCCCAGAAGATCACCAAGAACATCTGGCTACAACCAAGTTTACCGATCATAGAGAACTGCAAAACTTCAGTGCTAGGGGAAAATAGTATATAGTATTTGTGGTATTTTATCATGATTCTTCAGTCTTTCAGTTTTTTAAAAAAATTATTTATTTATTTGACAGAAAGAGAGAGAGAGGTGCACAAGCAGGGGGAGGGGCAGGCAGAGGGAGAGGCAGGCTTCCTGCAGAGCAGGGAGCCTGATGTGGGGCTTGAGCCCAGGACGCTGGGGTCATGACCTGAGCCAAAGACAGACACTTAACTGAGCCAACCAGGCACCCTACAGTCTTTCAATTTAACTTTTTTTCCCTTTTCCTTTTCCAACCAATTTCTTATTTTATCAACTCTTCTAAGTCTTTTTTAATTTTCATTTTTACAGTTACATTCTATCCTTTCACTGCATTTAATTTTATTTTTGTACATACATAAGCTTTTCTTTCTTTACAACTTTAGGATCTAGTTTTCTAACAAACAGACCAAAATACACCCAGAACTCTTGTACTGCTCTGTTCTGTTCATTTGTCTAATTATATTCTCTCTCTCTCTTTTTAATTTTCTTTTCAATTTCTGGCCTCTTCTGATTTGTTCACTGTATATTTCTCTGGGGCTGTTGTTGCTATTTTAGTATTTTGTTCTCTCATTCATCTATTTTTCTATGGACAGAATGACAAGACAGAAAAACTCACCTCAAAAAAGAGAACAAGAGGCAGTACTGACTCCCAGGGACCTAATCAGTATGGATATAAGTAAAATGTCGGAACTAGAGTTCAGAATAACAATTACAAAGGCACTAGTTGGGGTTGAAAAAAAGCAGATGACACTAGAGAGTTCCTTTCTGGAGAAATAAAAGAGCTAAAATCCAATCAAGTTGAAATCAAAAAGGCTATTAATGAGATGCATTAAAAAATGGAGGCTCTAACTAATAGGATAAATGAGTCAGAAGAGATAATTAGTGATACAGAAGACAAAATGACGGAGACTAAAGAAGCTGAGAAAAAGAGAGATAAACAACTACTGGATCACGAGAGGAGAAGTCGAGAGGTAAGTGATACCATAAAGCGAAACAATATTAGAATAATTGGGATGCCAGAAGAGGAAAGAGAGAGAGGGGGGCAGGAGGTATACTGGAGCAAATTATAGTAGAGAACTTCCCTAATCTGGGGAAGGAAACAGGCATTCAAGTCCAGGAGGCACAGAGAAGCCCCCCTCAATATCAATAAAAAAGGTCAACACTTCGACATATAATAGTGAAGCTTGCAAACTTCAGAGACAAAGAGAAAATCCTGAAAGTAACTCAGGACAAGAGGTCCTTAACCTAAGAGGGTAGAAACATTTGAGTGGCAGCAGACCTATCCACAGAGACCTGGCAGGCCAGAAAGGACTGGCATGATATATTCAGGGTGCTAAATGAGAAAAATATACAGCCAAGAATACTTTATCCAGTAAGGCTGTCATTCAGAATAGAAGGAGAGATAAAGAGCTTCCAGGACAAACAGAAACTAAAAGAATTTGTGATCACTAAACCAGCCCTGCAAGAAATATTGAAGGGAATCCTTTAGGCGGAGAGAGCCCAAAAGTAACAAAGACCAGAAAGGAACAGAGACAATGTACAGAAACAGTGACTTTATAGGTAATACAATGGCACTAAATTCATATTTTTCAATAGGTACTCTGAATGTAAATGGACTAAATGCCTCAATCAAAGGACACAGGGTATCAGACTGGTTAAAAAAGCAAGACCCATCCATATGCTGTCTGCAAGAGATTCATCTTAGACCCAAAGACACCTCCTGATTGAAAGTGAGGGGGTGGAAAACCATTTATCATGCTAATAGACATCAAAAGAAAGCTGGGGTGTCAATCCTTATATCAGATAAATTAGATTTTAAACCAAAGACTGAAATAAGAGATAAGGAAGGACACTGTATCATAATTAAAGGGACCATCCAACAAGAAGACCTAACAATTGTAACTATTTATGCCCCTAACATGGGAGCAGCTGTTTATACATAAACCAATTAATAACAAAATTAAAGAAACACATCAACAATAATACAGTAATAGTAGGGGACTTTAACACCACACTCACTGTAATGGACAGATCATCTGAGCAGATCAACAAGGAAATAAGTGCTTTAAAAGTGCCACACTGGACCAGATGGACTTCACAGATATAGTCAGAACATTCCATCCCAAAGCAATAGAATACACATTCTTCTCTAGTGCACATGGAACATTCTCCAGAATAGATCACATCCTGGGTCACAAATCAGGTCTTAACCGGTACCAAAAGATTGGGATCATTCCCTGCATATTTTTGGATGACAATGCTTTGAAACTAGAACTCAACCACAAGAGGAATGTCAGAAAGAACTCAAATACATAGAGGCTAAAGAGCATCCTACTAAAGAATGAATGGGTCAACTAGGAAACCAAAGAAGAATTTTAAAAAATTCATGGAAACAAATGAAAAGGAAAACACAACTGTTCAAAACCTTTGGGATGCAGCAAAGGCAGTCCTAACATGAAAGTATATAGCAATACAGGCCTTTCTCAAGAAACAAGAAAGGTCCCAAATAGAAAACTTAACCTTACATCTAAAGGAACTGGAGAAAAAACAGCAAATAAAGCCTAAACCCAGCAGGAGAAGAGAATTAATAAAGATTAGAGCAGAAATCAATGAAATAGAAACCAAAAGAATAGAACAGATCAATGAAACTATGAGATGGTTCTTTGAAAGAATTAATAAGATCAATAAACTCCTGGCCAGACTTACCAAAAAGAAAAGAGAAAGGAACCAAATAAATAAAATCATGAATGAAAGAGGAGAAATCACAACCAACACCAAAGAAATACAAACAATTATAAGAACATATTATGAGCAACTATATGCCAACAAATTAGGCAATCTGGAAGAAATGGATGAATTCCTAGAGACACATAAACTACCAAAACTGAAACAGGAAGAAATAGAAAACCTAAACAGATCCATAACCAGCAAGGAAATTGAAGCAGTCACCAAAAATCTCCCAACAAACGAGTCCAGGGCCAGATGGCTTCCCAGGGGAATTCTACCAAACATTTATTTATTATTATTATTATTTTCTACCAAACATTTAAAGAAGAATGAATACCTATTTTCTGAAGCTGTTTCAAAAAACAGAAATGGAAGGAAAACTTTCAAATGCTTTCTATGAGGCCAGTAATACCCTGACCCTACCAAAAAGGAGAATTACAGACCAATATCCCCAAAGAACATGGATGTAAAAATTCTCACCAAGATACTAGCCAATAGGATCCAACAGTACATTAAAAGGATTATTTACCATGACTGAGTGGGATTTTTTCCTGGGCTGCCAGGGTGGTTCAACATCCACAAATCAATCCATGTGATACACTACATTAATAAAAGAAAGGACAAGAACCATATGATCCTCTCAATAGATGCAGAAAAAGCATCTGACAAAGTACAGCATCCTTTCTTGATTATAACTCTTCACAGTGTAGGAATAGATGGAACATACCTCAATATCATAAAAGCCATCTATGAAAAACCCACAGTGAATAACATTCTCAAAGGGGAAAAACTGAGAGCTTTTCCCCTAAGGTCGGGAACATGACAGGGCTGTCCGCTATCACCACTATTATTCAACATAGAAGTCCTAGGTCCAGCAATCAGATAACAAAAAGAAATAAAAGGCATCCGAATCAGCAAAAAAGAAGTTAAACTCTCACTCTTTGCAGATGACATGATACTATGTGGAAAACCCAGAAGACTCCACCCCAAAACTTCTAGAACTCATACAGGAATTCAGCGAAGTGGCAGGATGTAAAATCAATGCACAGAAATCAGTTGTATTTTTACACACTAACAATGAGACACAAGAAAGAGAAATTAAGGAGTCAATCCCACTTACAATTGTACCAAAAACCATGAGATACCTAGGAGTAAAACTAACCAAAGAGGCAAAGGATCTGTACTCAGAAAACTATAGAATATTCATGAAAGAAATTGAGGAAGACACACAGAAATGGAAAAACGTTCCATGAGCATGAATTGGAAGAACAAATATTGTTAAAATGTCTATGCTACCTAGAATAATCTATATATTTAATGCAATCCTTATCAAAAGACCATCAACTTTTTTCACAGAATTGGAATAAATTACTCTAAAAATTGTATGGAACCAGAAAAGACCCTGAATAGCCAAAGGAACAAAACAGACACACAGATCAATGGAACAGAATAGAAAACCCAGAAATGGGCCCTCAAATCTATGGTCAACTAATCTTTGACAAAGTAGGAAAGAATATCCAATGGAAAAAAGACAGTCTCTTCAACAAATGATCTTGGAAAATTGGACAGCCACATGCAGAAGAATGAAACTGGACCATTTCCTTACACCATACACAAAAATAGACTGAAAATGGATGAAAGACCTAAATGTGACACAGGAATCCATCAAAATCCTAGAGGAAAACACAGGCAGCAACCCCTGTGACCTTGGCCACAGAAACTTCTTGCTAGACAAGTCTCCAAAGGCAAAGGAATCAAAGGCAAAAATGAACTATTGGGACTCCATCAAGATAAAAAGATTTGCACAGCAAAGCAAACAGTCAACAAAACCAAAAGACAACTGACAGAATGGGAGAAGATACTTGCAAATGTCTTATCAGAAAAAAGGCTAGTAGTTAAAATCTATAAAGAACTTATCAAACTCAACACCCAAAGAACAAATAATCCAATCAAGAAATGGGCAGAAGACATGAACAGACATTTCTGCAAAGAGGACATACAAATGGCTAACAGACATATGAATAAATGCTCCACATCACTTGCCATCAGGGAAATACAGATCAAAACCACATTGAGATACCACCTTACACCAGTTAGAATGGCTAAAATTAACAAGACAGAAAATGACAAATGTTGGCAAGGATGTGGAGAAAGGGGAACCCTCTTACACTGTTGGTGGGAATGCAAACTGGTGCAGCCACTCTGGACAACAGTATGGAGGTTCCTCAAAAGTTAAAAAGAGAGCTATCTTATGACCCAGCAACTGCACAACTAGGTATTTATCCGAAGGATACAAACACAGGGATTCGAAGAGGCACATGCACTCCAATGTTTATAGCAGCAATGTCCACAATGGCCAAACTATGAAAGAGCCCAGATGTCCACTGACAGATGAATGGATAAAGAAGATGTGGTATGTGTGTGTATATTATTACTCAGCCATCAAAAAAAAAAAAATCTTGCCATTTGCAACGACATGGATGGAATTAGAGGGTATTATGCTAAGTGAACTAAGTCAATCAAAAAAAAATTAATCAGAGAAAGACAATTATCATATGATTTCACTCATATGTGGAATTTAAGAAACAAAACAGAGGAGCATAGTGGAAGGGAGGGAAAAATAAAGCAATGACATCAGAGGGAGACAAACCATAAGAGAATCTTAATCACAGGAAACAAACTAAGGGTTGCTGGAGGGGAGGGGGTTGGGGGGATGAACTGGGTGATGGGCATTAAGGAGGGCATATGATGTAATGAGCACTGGGTGTTGTATGCAACTGATGAATCACTGAACTCTACCTCTGAAACTAATAATACACTATATGTTAAATAAATGAATCTAAATTTTAAAAAATAAAAATATTAAAAAAAATAAAATGGCACTTAACACACCTTCAGACTTTATGATCTAAAACCTCTAAAATCCTGTTTCTAAAATTGACGAAGTCTTGCATTACTTTATCATTTACCTGGTGATCCAAATGTTACTGCTTGTGTACTGCCAAATCCAAATGCAGGTGCTGCTTGATTTACTCCATCCTTTACATCTGAGAGCTTTAAAAAAAAAAAAGTAGGCAAATAATAAAATAATTGATGAATAATTCTCAATTACCTTTTCTATACATTTTAGAGCCAAATTCAATTTTAAAAACGTACACTTAGGGGCGCCTGGGTGGCTCAGTTAGTTAAGCGGCTGCCTTCGGCTCAGGTCATGATCCCAGAGTCCTGATTGAGCCCCACATCAGGCTCCCTGCTCAGTGGGGAGCATGCTTCTCCCTCTGCTGCTCCCCTAGTTGTGCTCTCTCTCTTTCTGACAAATAAATAAATAAAATCTTACAAACCAAAAAAACCAAAAAAACCCCCGCACACTTAAAAATATGTTTAACATAGAAAAATGCCCATAATATGAATATGCACAGAAAAAGATGGACCAATCTCAATGAGGTAAGAGCAACTGGCTGATGAATTATGGGTGATTTTAATTTTATTTATGCTTCTAAAATAGTTTCTAAATTTCTTCAATGAATATGTATTAAAATGAAAAAAAAATTTAATAATACATTTCAGCGTCTCTAGGTTGATTATCAAGAAACCTAGATTTCGGGGCACCTGGGTGGCTCAGTTGTTAAGCGTCTGCCTTTAGCTCAGGTCATGATCCCAGGGTCCTGGGATCGAGCCCCACATCAGGCTTCCTGCTCTGTGGGAAGCCTGCTTCTCCTTCTCCCACTCCCCCTGCTCGTGTTCCTGCTCTCGCTCTCTGTCAAAACAAACAAACAAACAAACAAACTAAAAAAAAACCCTAGATTTCATGTAAAAGCCTTTAGAGGCTACCCAATCTGCTTACTCTAATACTTGAACTGAAGTTGATTCACAATTACATTAAAAGCTTACTATTAAAATCTAGTATTTCCTATTCCCTGAGAATACTTTCTGTTCTTGCTATGTTCTACTCTAGAAATGTCTTTCATCTCTGCATAGTGAAATCTTAATCTCCTTTTCTTTTTCTTTTTTTTAAGCTTTTATTTATTTATTTGAGAGAGAAAGCATGAGCAGGGGGTGAGGGGCAGAGGGAGATGCAGACACCCCGCTGAGCAGGGAGCCCGACGTGGGGCTCGATCCCAGGACCCTGAGATCATGACCTGAGCCAAAGGCAGACGCCCAACTGACTGAGCCACCCAGGTGCCCCTTTAATCTCCCTCTTGAGGAACTTTCCCTTACTCCTTACCTCCAAGAACCTTTTCGTAATCAACTCAAACAGATATGATTTCTCTCATTTGGAAGCCTCAATAGCATTTTTCCCAAAAATCAGTCTTTGAGGTATAGTTTGTATGCAATAAAATGCATCCGTTATACATACATATGGATTTCAATGAGTTTTGATAAACTTAATAGCCACCACCACAATCAAGATTTAAAACATTTCCATCACCCCTAAAAGATCCTTTGTGTTCCTTCTCAGTCAAGCCTCTCCCAAACCCAAGGTACAGTGAGCCACTCATCTCCTTCCTATCACTATAGATGAGGTTTATTTTCTTTTTTCCAATGATTTTTATTTTTTATTTTGTTTTTTTTTTTTTGAAGATTTTTTATTTATTTATTTGACAGAGAGAGACACAGGGAGAGAGGGAACACAAGCAGGGGGAGTGGGAGAGGGAGAAGCAGGCTTCCCGCGGAGCAGGGAGCCCAATGCAGGGCTCGATCCCAGGACCTTGGGATCATGACTCGAGCCAAAGGCAGACCCCAATGACTGAGCCACCCAGGCACCCCCAAAGATTTTTAAAAATTTGAGAAAGAGAGTGAGCAGGAGAGAGAGGGAGAGAGAATATGAAGCAGACTGCACTGAGCACAGAGCACAATTCAGGGCTCAACCTCCACCCTGAGATCATGACCTGAGCTGAAATCAAGAGTCAGACGCTTAACTGACTGAGCCACCCAGGCACCCTGATGAAGTTTGTTTTCTTCAGTTTTTCATATAAATGAAATCACATAGTATGTACTTTTTTTTTTGATGTTGCTCTAGCTTCTCTCCCTCAGTGTAATATTCATTAACAGGTAAATAGATAAACATATACATATGCTGGATTAAAAGAACAAAGAATGAACTACTTGGCATAAAGAATGAACTACTGATACACGCTAAGCCCCTTGTGGGTGGACTGTCCAAGACCCTCACCTATGGAGGGGCCCCTAGGCAGCTAGCAAAGAGCAAGGAAGTTCTAACCCCAAGGGAAGTTCTGCAGTTCTTTGGACTCAGTTATCCCTTCTGCATTAGCAGTGGTGATGGTGGGCCACCTCTCACACAGGAAGAATACTTCCAAGAAGTCCTACTAAAATTAAATGGCATCATAACAACTAAACAGTGAAGAAATGAGCTTACCCAAGAGTCTAACTGTTTAGGAGGTACATATTTAAGAAAGGGGTGGGGTGCTGGAATGGTCACATAGTCATTTACTAAGTTAGGCAACCACAACTCTTACATCCTTTTCAGGAAGTAGAAACATCACCTGAGAAACTATAAATATCTTATTTCAAAATAAGGTTCTTAAGTTTTTATGGGAATAAAACATCATAACTTTATTGACAGAGATAATGAATATGCTACAGTCAGGACCATGTATCTGTGGAGACAAATGGATATATATCTACTAAACGCATTTCTATATAAGTCAGGGAACATATGGTGAGTGTTTTTCAGTCACAAAAGTATACGTTAGTCTAAATGTATATTCAGATCATTTTTCAGAGCAATTTCTTTGTAAATGCTGATAACCTTATATATTTGAATTTATGTAATATTTTCAAAACTAGACCACTGAAGTAAAAAACTTTACCCTAAAAATAGTTTTAGGAAAGCAAAGTTATCTGTGCTTTTCTGACTAAGCAATTCCAGGACTTTAAAAGATGATACAGTCTTGAGAATGTGTGTACCATAGTTCCTGACAGAGGATTTTAGCTTTGCTTTCCAAATCCAAAGTGAAATTCTCTGCAAATAAGCAACAGATAAGATACTTCCATAGAAAACTCTCCAATACTCACCAAGGCTATGTTAGTTGATGTATTTAGACTCTTCAGTTCATTTATTCTGTTTCTCCATTGATTTATTAACTGTTGGAGGGAATTTAGCTGAAAAGAGAAGACAGAAAAAAATGAGTCAACTTTGAGTGTTTAAGTTTGTTTCTCCAACAACTTCATGTGGTTTATTTGCCAAAATCACAAAAAGTTGAGAAAACATTTTTATGGCCCATAACTTGTACAATTTGCCCAAGATGTTCCAGCTGTAGCTCCCTCCCTGTTCTCCAACTCCTGGTGTCAGCTGGTTCAGAATCTCAAGTATGTGGCAGCAGAGAGAGAGTTATATTGGGATGGGAGGCAAACAGGTGTACTGGTTGAAATGTCTGATCATGACTGTAGACAACAGAAAAATACAGTTTATGTCATTTCCTTTAGGCACCAAACTTATTCAAGCCCAGCTTTTTTATTTTTTGACATCCGATACGTGAGAATGTTAATATGTATAAAGAGATGGTGTCTTTTTTCACTTTGTTTTTCTAGTATTCATCATGGTGTTTGCACCTAAGAGACGTTCCGTAAATGTCAAATGATGAAAGGGTCTGAATTTTTCGGACTGATTGCTGGATAATTTGTAATAAAAATAGTAACATTCCTAGTTACATAGTGAAAATATATTATTACCATTTTAGATAACCAACCAATTTCAAAGAAAGTAATTTAGAAAATAAAAATAACAATAGCCTTATCTTGAGAAAAATTATAGACCTCATCCACTTTGCCAACATACAAGCAAGCCACTACAAACAGAGAAGACAGTAATTAACAGCTAAGCTGGTATCAAGGTAGATGAATAGGAAACAAACTTACATAACTCTGTAAGTTATTGCTGGTTAAGAAGTTATGGTATTCAAGCCTCAACTCCTCTGGTGAAATGTCTGTAAAACCTGAAGTGAGGAATCAATTGGAATCTTTAAAATAAATACCAATACTTTTAATAGTATAGTAAAGCTAGAAGTGCTAGACAAGAAAATATGCCGATGTTGATAAGAAAATTTTCATAATCATAAGGAAAAATTTCAAAGCCTATAATCTAATGTTGAACAAAGTATAAAATTAGAATAAAATATAATTGGATATGTGATTTTCAAAGGGGGAAATTTTCTAAAGATAAATGGAATGGAAGGGATAACAAAGAAAAGAAAGGGTTGACCACATATACATTCAAACTTCTGTCTAAAAAATATTCAGTATGCCAGAAACTATAATAGGCAAAATTAAAAGGCAAATAGTAAACTGAGAAAACCGTGACTGCAACATATATGATAGGAGAAGAGCTAATGTCAATGTATAAATAGTACTTACAAATCATTAAGAAAAATAAGTTAATATGGGCAAAGGATAATAAACACCCAATGCTTTACTTAATGGCAAAAAATAAAAATGGATAGTATTTATTGTTATTAAGGGTGTGGTAAAATGGATATTCTCCTAAATTGCCTTTAAGGGAATTAAAAAGGTATTTTTCTGGGAGGAAAACTGTCAATAAGCGTTAAATGCCTTAAATATGTTCACACCTCTGTCCTTAATAGAATTTCTAGGATTTAACTTCAGGCATTAATTAGACATATAAAAAAAGAGTTTTATGTATGAAGATGATCATTCTAGTATTTTTAGTAGAGAAAACTGAAAACAACAAAGTAGAATATAAAACTAGATTATGATTCTAATTTCATATATTTATATGTATGCAGGAAATATGGTTGTGTGTGTGTATTTGGAAAGACTCTAAAATGTTATAGTTGTTATCTCTATGAGATCAGGTGATCTTTATTTTATTTACATATTTCCATGTTTTTCAAGTTTTCTATGGCAACAGCCATAAATTTATAATTAGGAAAACTTTATAAGAAAGTTCAGAATGTTCAGGATATTTTCTACAGAGAATTACTTGTAACCCAGATATCATTAACTCCATGGACCCCTACACCCCAGAATAAATAAAAGACTAAATGTTCAAATTAGAACCTTGGATTCTTCTAACAACTTATCTTTATACCATCTTTATTAACTGTTCAGGTCAAAAAACCTAGGAATCCCCTTGCCTTTCTCTTTCCTCACATCTAGTTAATCAGCATCCTGCCAGTTCTAACTCCAAACGGATTTAACCAATTCTGTCTCCACTGCTAGTAACTATAACCCAGTCAGTCACGAGCATTTGTCCCCTAACTCGTCTCCTTGCCTCTATTTTGCTTCCCACCCCCTACCATTCCCTACACACCATTTCTTTTCATACAACAGTCCAAGTGAGTTTTTTCTAATCAGATCATGTCCTTCTCCTGCTTAAAGCTCCACATGGTTACCTAGTACAATTAGGCCCAACATGACCTGGCTCCTGGCTGACTCCATGGCCTTACGTCCTATGACTCTTTCCCTCGTTCACTCTCCTCCAGTGGTTCAGGCCTCACTAGTCCTCAAACTTGCCAACCTTGTTCCTATAAGGGCCTATGCACTAGTTACTCCTATTGCCAGGAATGTTTTCCCCAAATATTCCCGCAAGTGACATCTTCTTTTCACTTAGGACTCAGCTTCAATACTGTCTCCTAAGAATGGATAACCACTCTAGCTAAAGGAAACTGTCCCTCTAGTTACTTTCTCCTCCTTCCAGCTGTTCCTCCTCTGAACCACAGGACATGGAAAATTTGTGAGTGACTATTTTCTTAATTCTCTCAAGGGTGGTACAAAAGTAGTATCATTTTAGATACGTAGGAAAAGTTAATTCATTATAATTGATGTCTAAGGACAGCAGTTGGGTGCCTGGGCAGCTCAGGAGGTTAAGTGTCTGTCTTCGGCTCAGGTCACGATCCCAGGCTCCTGGGATCGAGTCCCACATCGGGCTCCCTGCTCAGCAGGGAACCTGCTTCTCCCTCTACCTCTCCCTGCTGCTCTTGATCTGTCTCTCTCTCTCACACTCTCTCTCAAATAAATAAAATATATATAAAGACAGCAGTTTTCCAACTTTTTAGTCTCAAGACCCAAATATGTTCTTAAAAATCATTAAGCAATCCCAAAAAGCTTTTGCTTACATAGGTTATATATATCAATATTGACCATATTTAAAATGAAAAATAAGAAATATAGAACATTATTTGTTAATTCACATAAAAATAAGAAACCAGGGGTGCCTTGGTGGTACAGTTGGTTTTGAGCGTCCAACTCTTCATTTCGGCTCAGGTTGTGATCTCAGGGTTGTGGGATCGAGCCGTGTCAGGCTCCACGCTTAGCTTGGAGTCTACTTGAGATTCTCTCTCTCTCCCTCTTCCTCTGCCCCTCCCCCTGCATGTACTCTCTCTCAAATAAATAATCTTAAAAAAAAGGAACCAATTACATATCAGCATAAATGAAAAGACTATTTTTCAAAGCAAAAAGTAAAAATTTAGTGAGATGAGCAGCATTGTCTTATGTTTGTAAATTTTTTTTTATATACCTTAATTTAAAAACATTTTATTGCTAAAAAATGTTAACCCTCTTCTGAACTTTCGGTGAGTCATCAGTTTTTTGCTGATGGAGGGTCTGTTTGTAAGTTTTTTTAATGTTTGACTTTAATAGAAGACTACTGGATTATTATATCTGCTTCTACATTCAATCTGTTGCAATATATTGCCTGAAGTATATGAAGAAAGTCTGTTCTAACACAGATAAGTATTTGGAAATGGAGGACTTAAATAGCTTTTTCACGTAATTGTGGATTTTCTTCTTTGACACTACATCAAAACTTGATAGGTTGTAGTTTCTTAAAGGTTAGCTATAATGCAAACTCAAACCGTATTAATTAACCTTTTGTACTATTATATTAAATCCAGTGGTTTATCTTGCACTTAGGATGGATTTTTCAGCCATGCATAATTTTTACTTGAAAGCTTGAATTTTGTCACTGGCAATAAACAGTCAGTTGTTTTCTTTGAAGTGACAGGCTCACTTCATTAGTTTTTTTAGGAAATGTTGCCAAATACCTAAGTCTAGATAACCACAGTGATCAGTCATTCTTTCAAGTAAAAATTGTCTGTGAGAAAAGTGGCTAGTTCAATTTACAACTCAAATGATAACCAGTGCCTTCCCTCCAGATAACCATCAGATGTGAGTATGTGGCAGAAGCACTTTATGTGCACTTCCCATTTCGTCGCACAGATCAAAAAGGTGTGCCCTCAAGGGTCAAGATTAATAAAATCAGTATTTTTACCTCTTTATCAAAAATTTTAAGTGAAAAATGGCATTAAAAATTTTTTTTATTGGGGTGCCTGGCTGGCTCGGTCAGAAGAGGATGTGACTCTTGATTTGGGGTTGTGAATTTGAGCCCCACACTGGTTATAGAGATTACTTAAATAAATAAAACGTAAAAAAAATTTTTTTTTGTATTGACTACTATAGTCTGCTAGTACAGTAGGTTGCCTCTGCCTTGACTCATGCTAAGATACAAGGAGTTTTACTCATCAATGTTTTTGCAACAACACTGCAAATGTCCGTTAACAGAGTGAAAATGGCAATTAATGTCTTAGTACTATTATGAAAATTGAGTTTTGAGCCTTTGAAAGGGTCTCAGGAATAGGACTGCCAGATTTAGCAAATAATAATACAGGATGCCCAGTTAAATTTGAATTTCAGATATATAACAAATACTTTAGTATAAGTATGTCCAAAATATTACATGGAATATTCAGATACTAAAAATATTATTTCTTAGGGGAGCCTGAGTGGTTCAGTTGGTTAAGCGTCTGACTCTTGGTTTCAGCTCAGGTCTTGATCTCATGGGTTGTGGGATAGAGCCCTGTGTTGGGCTCCCCCCTCTTTCTCTCCCTCTGCCCCTCCCCCGGCTTGTGCACTCTGTATCTCTCTCCCTCTGGAATAAAAAAAAATCTTAATTAAAAAAAACCCCACTAGTGAAATTATCTTATTTATTTGTATTACTTACTGTCTCCCTCAAGAACATAAGCTCTGTTAAGGGAGGGACCTTGTCTGTCTTGCTCATCACTATATCCTTAGAGCTTAGAATAGGGCCTGGCACAAAAGAAATTCTATAAGTATTTTCTTGAATGATTGAGTGAATAAATAACTAAGGCCTGGTGTGACACCAATGCTCACAGGGAATGAGCAGGTAGAGCTGAGACAGCAGGGATCCCAGAGTTCTGAGGGATTACAAGGGTTCTCATCTGCTAGGTACTTGCTGTTTACTCAATAGGGCAGAGGCCCAGGACCATCCAAAGTGGGATTAGAAAATGTGGTGCTCTAGGTTTCAGCTCAGAAAGGGCTTAGGGACTATGGACCAAAGAAAACAGAAGGGAAAAGGGTGTTCTAAAAAAATGCTATCCCTGTAGCCCAGCTAAAGCTCTTTACCTTCACACATTATCTCCAGGATAGGTCTCAACATGCTTTATGAAAAATAACTATCTTTAGAAGAAAATATAGGGAAGAAAGGGAGAATAGAATCAGGCAGCCAAGTCCTTAATTGCAAGTAGGATGTGTGAATCTTCTATTCACTGCAGGCAGCTAAGAGGTTCTGAAGTTGTACCTGTAGGCAACCAAGAAAGCAGAGACTCTTTGAGGGCTTATAGAATTGGAATTGTGGTGGGTGCTGATTTCAGTATTTTCTCATGAGAACTACGTATCTTAAAAGAACTGTATCTTCTAAAAAAAAAAAAAAAAAGAACTGTATCTTCTAATCTTTATCTCTGAATTATGAAGTTCTGCCAGAATACTGGGATACTTCAAACAATGTCCAAACTTTCCTAGCTGTAGCTAAGTGTGTGGTTAGTTTACTTGGCATGATCTTGGTTTTAGAAAATAAGAGGTGTAAAACTTATTTTAAAAACATACAATTTCTCAATTACCTGAAATATTAGGTTTCTTTTTCATTGGCGAATAAACAGAAAACATCCACTGCCCTGATGATTCCCAAATTTCCATATCTTTTATAATTCCTTCCCTGGGGGAAAAAAAAGAGCAAAGGATCTTTTTCAATTGCTTATTAAAATTTATTGTTTATAATTTTCAATGATTGAAATTTTAAATTGTAGTAAATATGTAATTTTAGATTTTTTTTTTAAAGGTTTTATTTAGTTTAGAGAGCGAGTACACGTGCAAAAGGGGATGCAGAGGGAGAGGGAGAGGGAGAAGCAGACTCCTCGCTGAGGGTGGAGCCTGACCCGGGGCTCAATCTCAGGACCCTGAGATCACGACCTGAACTGAAATCAAGAGTTGGATGCTTAACGGACTGAGCCACAGGCGCCCCTAGATTTTTTCCATTGTATTTTCTGAAGACTATTCTTTTATTTTTTTTAAGACTTTATTTATTTGACAGAGAGATAGAGAGAGAGCACAAGTAGGCAGAGAAGCAGGCAGAGGGAGAGGGAGAAGCAGGTCCTCTGCTGAGCAGGGAGCCCGATGCGGGGCTTGATCCCAGGATCCCGGGATCATGACCTGAGCCAAAGGCAGCCACTTAACCAACTGAGCCACCCAGGCGCCCCTGAAGACTATTCTTTAAAGCGGAATTCATGAACTAAGAACTATATTTCATGATTTTAACTATTATAGTATCAAAGAAGTTCATAGTTTTGGTTTTCCAGTAAACTGAACCATTAGTCAACAGATTTGGTAAGTGAAACTATTAAACTATACATATTTTTTTTAAAGGTTTTATTATTTATTTGAGAGAGAGAGAGAGAGTGAGAAACAGCATGGGAGGGTCAGAGGGAGAAGCGGCTCGAGCCTGATGTGGGACTCGATCCCAGGACTCCGGGATCATGACCTGAGCCAAAGGCAATCGCTTAACCAACTGAGCCACCCAGGCGCCCTATACATATTTTAAAGAACTAAAATAAAATATACAATACTAACTTTAATCTTTCTTTGTTATCATAAACATCAATGATCATTTAACTGGAAAAAGACAGAAAGCACCATGTAATATAGAACCATAAAATTTTTAAAGTGGGTAGGACTTTAGAGATCATTTTGTCTAATTCTCATGTTTGCAAAAGGGGACAACAGACCCATGCCCATATAGTTAATTTATTGGCAAAGCGGTGGATAGATTCGACTCTAAATTCAATGTTTCCCTCCCCCATCCAGAATGCTACGATTAATAAAATGATAGCTACCACAGAGATACTATATTAAATTCAGGATTTTTACAACATCAAATATAGGAACGAGGGCTTTATTTGCTCTTTTACCTTTAAAAAAAAAAACAACTGTATATGATACATGGCTCAAAATGTTTTCCACTCATTCTAATTTATTATGGGAAATAAAAGACTAACGACTATATTTAAGTTCTGTCCTGGGACCTGAGGCAACAGTTACAGAAAGCCAGGGACTATTTTGGCACCAGTCACACATTCTACCATGATCAGGAAATAATAGGGAATCTTCTCCACAGTAGTGAAGGACATCAAATGAAACCAGTTTCAATGGAGTAGCTGAAGTAAAAGTTTTAGGAAGAAATATACCAGCTGCTGTAAGTGACCACCAAGAGTACAAACAGCTTTAAATTACCTCATACTTTGTAAAGAACTAATATTATACAACAAACTTAAGCAGAACTACCTTAGAAAGATAGTCACAATATAGTGTTATCAATAGAAAAATGGAAAAAGCATAATTAGCCCTGAGAAGTCACTGTGCTGGTATGGAAAGGTGAAATAAAGTATACTCTGACATATGCAAAATAGTAGTTATCTCTGAGTGATAGGATCATGGGTGCATTTTCTTTTTGCTTATTCTGATTTTTTAATAATGTATCACTTCTTTTTTAAAGAAAATATTGTAGGTACTTTTGAAAAAAATGAGCAAATGGGTAGTAATTTCTCTGAAGGCTTCCACTTACAGAAGCTTCTTATCATCTTTCTGCCCATCAGAGCTGGGTGAAGCAAATGGATTCTGGGACAATCCAAACCCTCTGTTCCTGCTAGTTGAAGCTCCAGAATCGAAGGAACTGAAAGAAGGCTTTTCTTGATCTCTGCTGCCCCCCCATGGTGTCGATTTGGAGAAGCTGGATGGCTGGATAACGCTGGAATATCTTTGGCTGGTGGTATTCCATCCACGTCTGTTACTACCTGAAAATAAACAATAAAACAATTTTATTGGCAATTCCTCTTTTAAATCTCTAAAAATTTCATTATATTATCTTACTGTGTGCAGACATTATGTAAAGATTCAACAAGCACCACATTTCCACTCATTTTAAATCATGAAACTCTTCATTTTTCACTTATTTTTAGTTACTTGTAACCAACAAATCATGTAATGGTCTAATGGCATTTTTTGTTTAACAAGATTGAGAGGACTGCAAATCCATAGAAAAATAATGATATATTAGTAAGTTCAGCTGATATAACCTTATTAAGTAAACAATCCCTTGACAGATTTAGGATGTATCCTAAATCATAAGCTCCTTCAGGATAAAAAGCTGCCTTTATCATTTTTTGCTCTCCTACTGGGCCCTATATAGCAGTAATGTCTGAAGAATGGACAATGTATTAAAAAGTTTGTTGAATATAAAAAATTAGATTCTACCCTCTGTCCTTGAATAGATACCTAAATCTATTTGACTCAGTCTTACCTCTGGGAAAACAAGACCTACCCACCTATCTTTCACAGGGAGGTTATAATTTACATTTGAATAAAATGTATTCAGTTCTATTATCAGCAGATTCTAATATTTCATAATTATCACAATAAACCAACAGGACTCTCTTCCCCTGTATCTGTATTTTAAAAAATCTTGGGGCGCCTGGGTGGCTCAGTCGTTAAACGTCTGCCTTTGGCTCAGGTCATGACCCCAGGGTCCTGGGATCGAGCCCCGCATCAAGCCCGCATCAGGTTCCCTGCTAAGCAGGGAGCCTGCTTCTCCCTCTTCCTCTGCCTGCTGCTCCCCGTCCTTGTGCTCTCTGTCAAATAAATAAATAAATAAAATCTTAAGTAAAAAAATAAAAAATCTTATCACTTAAACTACCTCATTTACTCATCACTTCCTAGTTGGGGCCAAGATAATTTGCCTTGTTTCTGACTGAATTAAGAGATATGCCATGAAATATATTAAAACCTGGAATGATGGGAGATCTATTCCTTCATGAAAATTCATCTCCCAACTCTAAAACTACTTAATAAAACCAAAGAGAAAAGGGAACAGACTGCTGGGCCAGATCCCTCATTTAAGGGTTAGTGGTCTTTTATTTTTCTGAAGTTCCAAATCCTTTGGGGGATGACACAACTGAAGAAGTTCATTCTCTCTTTTCTATATACCTTTTGGCCTTCACTTATTAATTATAGAAGCATTTGTTTCTGGGAGATAAATACTGTTTACTTGCTGAGTTTTATTTATGCTTTCTTCATCCATAGACCCATTCAATATTTATTTTCTAATTACTACGTCTATAGTGAGTCTCCACAGAATGTCAAATATTAAGTAACTTTTTCCAGGAAATACACTCACAAATATCAGACCCCGAATCCTAGTTTTTGGTTTGGAATATTTCACAGACTAATTGCGGGTGATGCAAAAGGACTGTCTTCAAGAAGAGGAATCAGACGTGAAACCACTATGCATCACAGACTAAGGGTCAGATGAACAGTCCTAAAAGAGGGAAGGGAAGGAAAGGAAAGGGAGGGGGTCAGCATCTGGTGATACTTTTAAGGACTAAGTTTCAATCCTAATAAAGACCTAACTATTCATCTGACCTTTAAAACCTTGTGTTGGGTTTCATTTCTGATCCCTCCTCTCCTTGAACACAGTCCTTTCACATCATCTGCAATTGGCTTAAATATTCCAAAAACTTTGACAATGACTTAGACCCAGGAAGTAGGTCAACGCGGTCCTCCACACCCCCTTCCCTCACAGCTCAGAGTTCTTAACTGGGCAACCAACCCTTCCAGTTTTACCACCAATGTTATGAGCATGTACATTCGCCTAAGGCAGAGCTTTGCAGCTATTATTAGATTTTCCAAAGGCGTTTGCTACTTCCCCAATGTTAAGCATCCAGGCTTTGATCCCAGCTGCTAGCCCTTCTCTCGAAAAAAGTTTAGTAACAATTATATTTAGGGTATCAAGGGAAAAAAACAGTACGCTTAAGGGTAGTAAAGCAATGAGGCGTCTGGGTCGAGCTACACCAATTCTCCGGACCGTTACCACCCACAGACAAGGTTAGTTTTGACACGTACTTCCGACCTAAAAACTCATTGTTTCGCATTAGTACCAAAGGCCAAGTGCCTGCCTTCATCCCCTCAACCACAATCAGCCGAATGCCTACACAGCGGATAGGAGCATTGTAGAGAACCTGTGCCGGGCCCGGTGGGCGGGGCCGAAAAAAAGGACGACGCCAGCACGTCAGCGTCACCTGACTGGTGCGCCGCCGCGGGGCGCCGAGCGGCAGGCCCCACGCCGGACGCCAGTTCTCAGCCCGACGGCCCTAGCGCTAGGCCTTCCCCTGCTCCACAGCGGCGGAGGATGGAAGAGAACGTCACCTGAGGGCTGTTGCTGCCGTCCTCCGCCCGCACCCCTGGCGCCGGGATGTTCGTTCCAGCACCGGTCTCCAAAGCGGCACCGGCCTTGAAGGAAGAACTGACAAATGGTCATTGCGACGGCGTCGCCCACGGAACGGTCTTCAGTCAGCACCCTCAGCGGACGGAGAGCCCAAAGCAACCGAAGGTCCCTCCCTGCTACCGTGACGTCATCTTCTCGCGCCCCTCCCCCCCTTGTCCTGCCCTGGGATGAGAGGCGTGGATTTTACCCAATAGGATTTGAGAAGAGCGGGGCGGCCCCCTCTCCCTCACTGAGTTGGGCTTGGGAAAGCGGAATGCTTGAATGGTAAACGTGGAGGAAGAGGCGCGTTTGCGCGTGGGGCAGGGCCTCGGACTTCAAGGAAAGCTTGAGGGTCCGGAATGAGAGGAAAGCAGGTTAAGGAAATTTAGATTTTCAGCAAGGCCCTGGAGGGGAGGAATAGTTGTGGTTTGAGAGACCGAGTTGTATTATTCATTTGTACTGTTGAGAAAGTAAAAATCCGCGCAGCCATTCATCAGGTGGATAACAGATAAAGCCAGTTATAAGGTAAACAGGAAACAGTGTTTCCTTCAAGGACAGCCTGCAACTGAAAAGTATCATAACCCCATCTTTGGATAAACACTACATTCTTACACTCTGAGAAAGCTAGTTCTTTAAAGTCCCCGTACACGCCGCTGTTTGAAATTGTATCAATAAGAATGAAACACACCACTCTTGCCTGGAGGAACTAAGACACTTTGACACAGAGAAGCAGTATCGATTTCTTCCCAGGTACAGAGCTTTCGATAAGACGTTCCTGAAAAAAACATTCCGTATCTTTCTTAATTTTGTAGTTTCCAAGGAAACACGATCCTACATCCACTTTTCAGTCCAGATCCGATGTTGGTGCCCTTACACACAGCTCTGCTTTGCTTTGAGCTTATAAAATTTTACCTAAAATCTACTTAGCTCACAAATCTTACAGTTGTCTTTTCCTTTGGTGAGGCACACTACTGTTCCTCTGGTTCGCGGTCTCCCTGGTTGCCAGGAGGCAGTAAGTATGACTGTGGGATTACAGGTTTGTCCCTGGTGGTTGAAGATGATTGGCCATTGTTCTTGCTCACATCTTTGGATTTTGAGTACAGTGGAATCTACAGGAGCACTGGGAATAACTGCTACAACGTAGTTTAAAGTTTTTATTTTAAGTAATCTCTACCCCCAAGTTTATTTAAACCTAGGGGCCCCTGGCTGGCTCTGGCAGATCATGCAACGCTTGATCTCAGGGTCATGAGTTCAAGTCCCACGTTGGGTGTAGAGCTTACTTTAAAAAGAAATCAATTTACTTATTTTGAAACGTATTGAAGATTTACAAATTCAGAATAAGAGACTGTATTGCAGACCTGATACCCCATCACCCAAATACTTTATTTCCTACAAATAAAGACATTCTCCTACATACCCACAGTACAGTCACCAAAATCAGGACGTTTATCTAATCCTTAGATTCTGTTCATGTTTTGCCAAATGTCCCAGTGTCTTTAAAAGAAAAAGATCCAGTTTAGAGTTATTGTTGCCTTACTCATATTTCTTACTTTATTTAGCCTTACTCTTATTTCTTTAGTCTCCTTCATCCTGGAACATTTCCTCAGTCTTTCCTTGACTTTCAAGACCTTAACATTATTAAAGATTACAGCTATTTTGTAGAAACTCCTCAATGCAGATTTATCTGATGTTTTCTTGTGATTGGATTCAGATTAAGCATCTTTGGCAGGATTATCGCGGAAGTGATGCCATGGTTCTCACATTGCACCTCTCAGGTTGTGTACAATTTCAACTTGTCCCATTACCTGAGGTGTTCACTTTGATCACCTGGTTAAGGTGGTGTCTGCTGAGCTACTACAATGACTCTTTTCGCCTTTGTTATTAATAAGAATATTGTGAGGAGATACTTGAAAGTATAAAAATGCCATTCCTCCCCAAGCTTTTTGGTTCTTTCATTTATTTATTCCTATCAGTATGGCCTCCAATTTTCCATTTTTATTCAGTGGGTTATAATCTATTACTGTCATTATTTTGAGGTTCAAATCATCCTCAATTTGACCAGTGAGAGACCTGTGATCGCCTTTGTTTTTTGACATATCCCATTAATTCTTTGAACACTTCTTTACTCCTTGGCCCAAAAGATGCTCCAGGCTCAGTCTTATACTTTCCCTGATCTAGTCCTAGAATCAACCATTTCTCCCAGGAGTCCTGGGTCTTTAATGGTACTTAGAGGCCAAGATCTGAGCTTTGAATTTTCTCATTGTGTTGTGAGGTCTTTGCTCCCAAGCCCTTTCATGAGCATTGCTAGGAAATGTATACTATAGACCTACATTTACATCAATACATATTTCTGTATATGTATTAGAAACTATGAGTTTACACTGATAACCTCCAGTTCGATCCCAAGACCACAGAATTTATTTTCCTCTTGTATTTCTAACTTTCTCCTTTGATAGTGAGAAACTTGGTTCCCACTATTCATACTTATTTTGAGCAAGTCCCTTGTATTAGCCAGTTTCTCATTGTGGCCACTGACTTCTCGTCTATGCAAAGACCAACATGTGTAAGGACTCTGCTGGGATCAAAGACCTAAAATAATGCCAGTGGTGGCTGAAGCTTAAATAAGAGTGGGCATGGTGCTGTGTGAAAGTGGAGAGGTAGGCAAGGCCAGATCCCCCAGTTGAGATCATCTAGGTGGAGTGCTGATGAGACAATGGGAGACTAGGGCTGAGGAATGCAGAATTCAGTAGTGATCAGTTAGGGCAGGGGTAGGTGGAAATCAGGAGTGGGGTCACAGGAAGGAAACTTCTAATTTCAAAATGGCACAGTAAAAATAGTTCTGTCCCCCTTTCCTCTTGAAAATCATCTCAAAGAGAAAACAAGCAAAAACATCATCTTCGATTATACTAGGAGATAACGATAATCTCAAACCACAATTTGTGAGGACTGAATGCACATGGAGGAATAGTAAATTACTTAGAAGAGAGGAGGAAGGTCCCATTCCTGAAAGGTGCACCCTGATGTCCCTAGAGAAGTCTGAAAAAGCCTCAGAAATTAAGAGCCACCAATTACCATAGAAGGGTAGACTGAAAATCTCTATGTGGTGCAGTTAGAATCTAGCTCCATAAATCCACCCGGTTAGGCAGCTATCCCCACCTGATGGGAGATAGGTTTTTTCCTTGGAAAAAAAAAAGGGTGGGGTGGGGTGGGGACAAGAGAGGCTTTGAGTCCAGGACATCAAGTACAGAGGGGAAGTTATGGTACTGACAATGCAAGCTATGTTTATTGAATGGTGAAGTACAGTCCTCTTTGCCTAAAGTCTAGAAATTCTGCAGCCAGCCTTAGAGTCCCCTTTTTTCCAACTTGCCCTATGCACCCAAGGTGTAGGGGTTTGGAAGATTAGTTTTTTGAGAATCAAACATCCCCGAAAAGTATCTATAGATCTGATGGATTCCCAACAAAAATAGGTGGCCATTCACTCATCATATGATGAAGGTCACTGATAATTAGGCCCACCTTTGCACACACAAATTATCAACTTATTCAGTGTCTCATTTTAAATATAAATGTGCAATAAAAACTTAAATATATATTGATAAAAAAATAAATGTAAATGTGCAGCCAGGGACCAGAAAAGAGCAAACGGAAAAAATAAACAGACACACACTAAGTGTATAGAAAATGTTAAACTAAAGTATCTTCAGAGAGGATAACATGAAACAATAACAATGCTATATGAAATAATTATTTTTAAAAAAGTATTCTTAGAAATTAAACATGGGTAGTGGAAACAAATTCAATGGATGGTTGGAAGATAAAATCAGAGAAATCCCCTGCAAGAATTGAACAAACCAGATCCTGAACCCGTATTATAGCTGTTATTAAGGGTCAGATGAACAGTCCTAAAAGAGGGAAGGGAAGGAAAGGAAACGGAGGGGGTCAGCATCTTGTGATACTTTTAAGGACTAAGTTTCAATCCTAATAAAGACCAGAGGCTTAAAGCTCTGGAAAGTAAAATATTTCTAGTTAGTAACATTTCAGTTTGCCAGCACAAACTTTTAAATTTTTATTTCTCCCAAAGTCGTCTGAATAGCCTTGCGAAGGAGGAAGTTAGGACGATGAAAGTAAATTCAAGCTTTTAGAAGTCTTTTGAAGCAAATATAAGAGGAATATTTAAAGGATTTAGCACACGTTGAAGGATGCAACCTGAAAATGTCTCTTCATATTACCAAATTTTTGGGACTTAGTTTGGTGCCATGTTGGAGTGGATTGAATTTTCTGACATTGTTGGGGTCTGTTATTTTTTTTTTTTTTTAAGATTTTATTTATTCATGGGAGACAGAGAGAGAGAGGGAGAAGCAGGCTCCCCACTGAGCAGGGAGCCCGATGCGGGACTCGATCCCAGGACCCTGGGATCATGACCTGAGCCGAAGGCAGACGCTTAACCATCTGAGCCACCCAGGCGCCCCTGTTGGGGTATGTTAAAGGTGTCACCCTTAAAAAGCAAAATTTCTGGGGCACCTGGGTGGCTCATTCGGTTAAGTGTCCAACTCTTGATTTTGGCTCAGGTCATCTCAGGTTGTGGGATCGAGCCCCAAGTTGGGTTCTGAGCTGGGCATGGAGACTGCTTAAGATTCTCTCCCCCTCTCTCTGCCCCTCCCCCACTTCTCCCCCCTTTTTTTTTTTAAAAAAAGGCAACATTTCCTTCAAATACTCCTTTATCCTGGCCTAGGCAGCAAATCTCAATTTTTTGCTGTTAATAGTCTATAAGGCAAAAGGAATATAGACTGCTTGGTTAATAATTGTTTATTACATGGTTCATTTTTGTGATTCAAAATTTCCTGTAAGATTGTATGTCAGGTTTTTCAAACCTCGCTCACAATTGTAATTAAGTACTGTTTTTTATGGCAACATTTTTTTCCAAGCCATTAAACTTTCATGTTCAAGTTGTGATTTTTAAAAGTATAAACACTGCTGTGTCATCAAAATAGTGTCACTGCAAAGGATGGAACATTAACATATCCCATGTTAGAAGAAAACAGAGCCCTTTATATGAACGACAGGAATTTTGTGGGGGAAAAAAAGGAATAGAAAAAATACTTGCTGGGGGTCCGACTTTTGGTTTTGGCTTGGGTCAGGATCTCGGAGTCTGGGGATAGAGCCCTGCCTCTAGCTCCATGCTTGACAGAGGGTCTGCTCAAGGAGTATCTCTTTCTGCCCCTCCCCGCCTCAAGTAAATAAATAAATCTTAAAAAAAATACTTGCCAATATATTGTGCCATTATCCTGGCATTGACAATTTCATAGAATATTTCCGAGGCAGAAAATAGGTACTAATGAGTAATTACTGAGATTACTAACACCATCTCCCCTAAAAAAAACGCAAACCCAGGTTTAATCTACATCAAACCTGTCTACATACTTATAATAGTGTGTTCTAGTCAGTTGATACAGCCTAAAGAAAAGGCTAATCCATTTAAAATATTTCAAACAGTACTGCACATTCCATATGGGAAAGTATTACTATAAGTAAATTGTAATATGACAAATGGATGTTCTTTTCTCCAAAAAAAACTGGACATTTTTTTTCCAGTGGAGTACAGAATTGAAAACTCAACATAAAAATGTTCAAGACAGGCAAATCTAGAGACAGAAAGATTTAATGGTCATCTAGGTCTAGGGTATCTGGGGGATGTAACTGGGTTGGATAATGTCCCCCCAAAATTCATGTCCACTTGGAATTCCAGTATGTGACCTTATCTGGAAACAGGTTCTTTGCAGATGTCCTTAGTTAAGATAAGGTCATGCTAGATTGGGAGGAGGGTTGGCCAGATCCAATGACTGCTGTCCTTGTCACACCATATGAAGACACAAGGGACACACAGGAAAGGACATGTGAAGCCAGAGGCAGTGAGTGAAGTGGCACAGTTATAAGTCAATGAATGCCGAGGACTGCCAGCAACCACCGGAAGCTAGGGGGGAGGTGGGCAATTTTTGCCTTAGAACTCCAGAAGGAGGGAACCCTGCCAACACCCTGATCTAGGACTTCTGGCTTCCTGAGCTGTGAAAGAATAAGTTTCTGTTGTTTTAAGTCACCAACTTTGTGGTAATTCATTACAGGAGCCAAAGGAAACTAATACGGGGGAAAATGGGGGAGTGACTGCTAATGAGCATGGGCTTTCTTTCTGTGGTAATAGGAATGTTCCAAAATTGTGATGATGATTGCACAACTCTGTGAATATGTTAAAGACCACTGAATGATACACTTTAAATGTGTGAATTGTGTAATGTGATTTATATTTCAATAAAGCTGTTACATGCATAAAAAGTCCTAAATAAAAATATTATACTTTTTTAAAAAAGATTTATTTTCTAGAGAGCACACATGCGTGAGCACAGGGGAAAGGGGCAGAGGGAAAAGGAAAGAGTCTTAAGCAGCAGAGGAGCCCCACACGGGGCTTATCTCATAACCCTGAGATCACGACCTGAGCTGAAACCAAGAGTCGGATGCTTAACCTGATTGTGCAATGCAGGCGCCCCTATCATTATGCTTTTTATAATCTCTTTCCTTTCATTTAAACATTTTTAGGATTTAAGATCATAACCCCCACATAAATAAAGCAATGAAAATTAGAAACACAGCTTCACAAATTTTAAAAACAACCACTGCCTAATACATTTAAAATGAAGGATGAATAAAACTTAGCAGTCTATTTTAAGTTAAAAAATATTTAATATTATTGGATAAAAACACCGATGGTGACAGCTTTACATGGCTCATTCCATACATTCCGTAATGTAAAAGGGCAAAACATTACTAGGAAAGAAATGAGTAGTTGGGTTTGTAGAAGATTTATTGACCAGATAAAAGCAATTAATACGAGATGACAACATTTAATTCAAATTATTACAAAACTTTTAGGGAGATAATTGGGTCAAATCTCTCTGATGTGTCCTGCTAAGGAAAAGAAATCATGTATCTTTTTAATCCATAAGAAGTTCAAAGTCAACATTGATATTGTGTAACTATCAGTGCTATTCTAGTAACCTAGAAATTTGCTATAAATAGCTTTATCTTTTGTTAATCATTCTTACTATGATTTTATTTAACAGTGAGGACTGAAGAGGCATAATCATTTTTTAACCACTGGGTAAAAGAGTACTATAAATTAAAGAGGGTGCTAAGCTTGACATTTTGTGTTTAAAAGATGGAATATATTTAATTGGATTGAATATATTTCATGAGGGCTTGGGTACATTTTTAAGCCCAAAATGTGTTTATGAAGTTCTGTGAGAGAATACATGTATGCCTTGATTCACTCTGGCTTGCTTTTAAAATGAAATAAATTTGGCACTATATGGAACAAATGAAGACAAGCAAAATTAGGTGAGACTAAGATGCTTCATCAGAGTTGCCTGTCTTGACTTACAATTCTTACTATTTCTTAGTTCTTGACCGAATAGAAACAAATAGACCTAACTACAGAGCACTTCTATGATGTATGAAAATAGAATCTAGAGCTAAGATGAGACCGCTTCACTGATGAGCCAATCCCCCACTCTGCCATAATTATAGTTACAAATGTGAAATTCATTCAAGAATTCATATTTTCACCAAATGCTTATGATTTTTCAAGTTTTCTTGCTAGATATGTTGTGGTTAAGTGGCCAGCTAATATATGGTCTTTGAATTAAATAAGGAAATTCATATAAAAGAAACATCTATTTTATAGCGATCTTACTTTACTTGAAATTTCCTTTAAAAAAAGAAAACACCAAACTAAAACTTTGTAACCAAACTCTTGGAACAAAGCACTGGTGGCCATATTTTTGAGTCTCCGATAAATCTTGAAGTCCATTCACTTTTCATGTTTCAAGTGTTTCTTCATTTGCTCCACAAGTATCAACAACACAAATTAAACAACTTGTTACTGGAAAAGCTCGGACTTTGGAGTTGGCGACCCATTTGTCTGTCTCAGTATTATATTCAAGGATGTGTCCTAATCGACCCACACCTTGAAAACCAGCCAAGACATAAACTATAGAGCCAACTGCTGCACACTTCACTGTTACACCTTTCCATGGCATTGGTGAGACCATCTTCCATTCGTTTAATTTAATATCATAATATTCCACGTTGTCCAGACCACCTTCAAAAGAATAAAATAACATGAACAACTACAATTAACAATTCTAAGATCTCTTAATGTAATAATTCTTTCCATCTTCCCATTTTATTATGAACATTTTCCAAATATGCAAAACAGTTAATCTTACAATGAATGCCCATATATCTACCATCTATTCTTTTTTTTTTTAAAAGATTTTATTTATTTATTTGAGAGAGAAAGAATGAGACAGAGAGCAGGAGAGGGGGGAGGGTCAGAGGGAGAAGCAGACTCCCTGCCAAGCGGGGAGCCCAATGCGGGACTCGATACCAGGACTCCGGGATCACGACCTGAGCCGAAGGCAGTCGCTTAACCAACTGAGCCACCCAGGCGCCCTCTACCATCTATTCTTATTTTTACTTTAACACAATAAAAATTTAACTTAATTGTTACTTCAATCCTAAAATATGTATATTTATTTTTACAAAATTATAAATGTTCTATCTGTTCTGGGAAAGCAACAAAGTCAGTGGATTTTCCTCCTGATTAACTTTGACTATAATTACTTAAAAGTCTTCTATCTTTCTGCCATTTATCTTTCAGCAGTTTATGGAAAACAGCAATGGCAAGAGACAGGAGAAGGGAAGAAGGTATTTCTTTGTTATACTTAAGTAATGCTTAAAGGTACTGACTAAAATGAAGTTCGTGGACTATAGATTCAGTCCAGATTCTCCATTATTTAAAGAAATAATTTCAGATTTTTTTTTTGATATTGTTTTGGAAGTTTTAATGAAACAAGACATAATACATAAACATCAAGAATACATATTCTGTATTCAAAGATGGTAATAGCCATATGAACGTCTAGAAAATCCTACAGAATTGTTCAGAAACTACTGGAATTAACAAAAGAATTTGTAATTTGACCATGTAGACAATAATCATGGAGAAATCAATAGCATTTCTATATACCTTCTAGCAGATATGAAAAGGGAATGCTTTCATACTTTGTGAAAGTATAAAATGCCAAGAAATTGATTTTATTGAGTTTTTTTTTAAAAGACTTGCCCAGAGCTCAAAGGTGAGTTGATTAATTAGTGAGAAAGACTGTGTTCCAGTTAAGAATAGTAAGTTACTTAGAGATGTGAATTTTTTACAGAATTTTTCAGATTTTTTTACTATAAATTATTTAAGGAAATAAAAAGTCAAATTTACTCATTTAAAAAATAGTAATATTGACATTTTTAATCCAATGTTTCAAAATGTTAAGGAAACTTTGCCACTCAGGGCCTGTATACAAGTCTTAAAAGTTGTATTTAAAAGTTTGTAAAAATTCAAATGTTTCTGTCACTTAATAGTTAACTAATGTGACACTATTACCCAGAGGGTGTTTGGAAATGTGTGAAGCTGAGACTGTCACAATGACTGATGGCCATTACAGGGATGTTAAATGTACTACAATGTTTCTTAAAATATATTAGTTCTCAGAAACTATAAAAATAAGTATAATAATATATATGATAAATGCTTGTATTTATTTTTTTAAATGCTTGTATTGAGATTTTAAGAAATGTTTCAAAAATTTATGAGAAGGAGGTATCAGCAAACTCACTGGGAAAGTTGAACAGTGAATTAATGTCACATACCCAAGCCATTCTGACCACCTACAGCAAATATCTTGTCTTTTACAAATACCAGTCCATGATTCTTCCTGGCCTCAATCATTGGACACAGCTCAGTCCATCTGAAAAATAAGAGAAAGGTTTTAGAGTACTTGTTCACAGGAAGTAAAGTACTCATACTACTTTAAAAGGTCTGTTATCCTAGGTAAGTGCTCATTTAGTACTCACATGTGTTCACACCCACACACAAACACACACCTGAAAAAACTAGAAAACAAAAGTTTAATGTGGTTTTGGGTAACTTATTTACAGGTGGGGTAAATGGGGATTTTTTTTTTTTTTTAATAGTAAACGGGGATTTTATTCCTTTCAACTCCGACAGAGTATGAGAAAGAGAGAATATCTGAAGACTAACACATCTTTGGAAGAAATCCATTTCCTAGTTCACAGTAACTTGTTAAAATGGTAACAAAAAAGAAAGGGAGGATACTTAAGAAAATATAAAATACTATTATTGTCACATATGGTTTTTTAAAGAATTTTTTAAAAAAAGATTTTATTTATTTGAGAGAGAGAGAATGAGAGAGAGAGAGGGCGCATGAGGAGGAGGGTCAGAAGGAAAAGCAGACTTCCTGCTGAGCAGGAATGCGGGCCTCGATTCGGGACTCCAGGATCATGACCTGAGCCGAAGGCAGTCACTTAACCAACTGAGCCACCCAGGTACCCGTCATATATGGTTTTAATTAATATTTATGTAGGAGTCAAACACAAATTTAACACTGGGCTCTAGCAATCAGCAAATTAGTAGTATCTGTTACTTTTCATATGTCCACCTTCAAATGTACATTTAGAACTTTAGGCAGCACTAGTAACAGAAGTACTGTCATTCTGTCAAATTTAATAACTTATTAGCATGTTGTTTTGTTCATGGCCACTACTATAAATAATGAGATTGAGAGGCGCCTGGGTGGCTCAGTCGGTTAAGCGTCTGCCTTTGGCTCAGATCATGATCCCAGGGTCCTAGGATCAAGTCCCACATTGGGCTCCCTGCTCAGGAGGGGGGTCTGCTTCTCCCTCTCCCTCTGCTGCTCCCCCTGCTTGTGCTCTCTCTCTCTGTCAAATAACTAAATAAATAAAATCTTAAAAAAAAAATAACAAGAGGGGTGCCTGGGTGGCTCAGTTGGTTGGGCAACTGCCTTTGGCTCAGGTCATGATCCTGGAGTCCCAGGATCGAGTCCCGCATCGGGCTCCCCGCTCAGCGTGGAGTCTGCTTCTCCCTCTGACCCTCCCCCCTCTCATGCTCTCTCTCTCATTCTCTCTCTCAAATAAATAAAATCTTTAAAAAAAAAAACAAGACAGAACATAAATGTGGACACAAGTGTTGAAGAACACTAACTAATTCATAGGTAGCAGCCTCATATACACAGACAAGTGTTATTTTTTTCTGTGAGACTCAATCCCTTCTTTTGCATACAATCCCACACATACGATTGACATTTGTGATTGTGAAGGTGGTACTGGCACACAGGCTTGTGTCTCAATAGCTAACATAAACCAAAAGTGTCCAAGCAACAAGAAAAGGGTAATCTGACATAAGTGTAACTCTTTAATATGGTTATTTATATCTCTTCTTTCAAATAATTTACTAAATTTAAAAAAAAAGAAGAAGAAGAGAGCAGGAGGGGAAGAATGAAGGGGAGTAAGTCGGAGGGGGAGACGAACCATTAGAGACGATGGACTCTGAAAAACAAACTGAGGGTTCTAGAGGGGAGGGGGGTCGGGGGATGGGTTAGCCTGGTGATGGGTATTAAAGAGGGCACATTCTGTGTGGAGCACTGGGTGTTATGCACAAACAATGAATCATGGAACACTGCATCAAAAACTAATGATGTAATGTATGGTGGTTAACAATAAAAAAATTATTAAAAAAAAAAAAATAATAATTTACTAAATTTAACTTTTCAAAATATAATTAGGACATAATGATTAACTCTGAAATAGTAACTGTTTTCTTGCCTTATATTCATAAAATTGTTTTGTTTTAAAAGTGGTTTGGCAGTTGCCACATTCATTTTCAGAGCACTCTGTAAGGTGAGGTGGGCAACATTGTTTCTTTCCCCCACCCCCGGGTAAACACACATGCTCTTCCAGGTGAAAAGAGCAGCATTCAGCTCAGAGGTGGGAGCCAGTACTGGCCCTCCACTCCCTCTCCATGCAGTGAGCTGCAGACAGTGGCTGTCAAAGTGTATTAAACATAGTATCTGACTTGGAAAAATTCAAAATATATACCTCTTTCTTCTCCATACATGTCCATGATATAAAGTAAGAGCATATTTTTATGTAGGGTGGTCCTTGACTTACAATGGATCAACTTAGAATTTTCTGACTTTATGATAATGCAAAAGTGAAACACATACAGTAGAAACTGTACTTCACATTTTGAATTTTGATCTTTCCCTGGGCTCGCTAGATGATACTCTCTCATGATGCTGGACAGCAGCAGTGAGCTGCAGTTCCCCATCAGTCGGGATCACGAGGGTGAAGAACCGATACACTTACAACCGTTCCGTACCCATAGAGCCGTTCTGTTTTTCACCTGCAGTACAGTAGTCAATACATTACATGAGGTATTCAACACTTTATTACAAAACAGTTTCTGTGTTAGATGATTTTGCCCAACTGTAGGCTAATGTGAGTGTTCTGAGCATGTTTAAGGTAGGCTAGGCTAAGCTATGATGTTCAGTACGTTAGGTGTATTAAGTGCCATTTTCAAGGTAACAGTATTTTCAACTTACAGTGGGTTTATCAGGATGTAACCCCATTGTAAGTGGGGGAAGATCTGTGTAGCTAAGTCTCCTTAAGGTTTAGAGTTAGGAAGTTCCACAAAATATACTTTCTTCTTCCTGTAACTTCACATGCAGAGTATGTACTAGGTGCTTGCTCTCCCCAACCTGGACTTTAGTGTTTAGAAGCTTTTCTTAAAATTCTGACTGCAGAAATTGTGTCATGTCATTTCCATAAGGCTCCAATTCTTAGCTTCCAATTAAACCAGTGTAGTTACAAAACACTTAAGAAAACTGTAAAAATTGGAAAGAATTCTTATAAAAAATAACTTAGATGGATAGATCACATTAAAAAAAGGAAATCACTGTAGCACATAACATCATTTTGAGATCTGGAAAATTATAGTCACACTAGCTTTTCACTTAGGAAAATTTAAGGGCATTGAAGAGAATATAGAATATTCAAGTTTCATGCATAAGCTCAATATGCACAAAAGAAATGCTAACTTGTGTGAGTTTTAAGATATTCCCCAAACTAAATATATCCACCTAGTTTTAAAAAATATTGAGTTTGCAGAATTCCTTTATACCTTTTCCCTGCTACTATGAATAGAATATATTGATTTACACTCATAGTGCCTGAATAAAGATCTCAAAATTTAGAATCCTGGAGTTTATCTAGTATGGGTTCTACTTTAGGAGATTTTTTAGAAATGAAAAAATAATTAGGAAGCAGGATAATGAGACCAAAGTTTTCCAATTAGTATGCTGTAATACTTTTTGAGCATAAAGTGTCTGGGAGGTAAAGTAGAGACTGATATAGGAGGGAAGAGAGTTGGTATACACCCCCTTCTTATAGTTTGGGACAAGATGGGGCAGATAGCTCAAGTGATAGAATGAGATAAGGGGTATCCCCAGAGTGCCCAGGCAAGTACAAAGATACATTTTGAAAAACACTGAGAAGTAGTAAATTTGATGATCTCAAAGAGATTTTCTAGTCTCAACAGTTTTTTTAATTTAATTTAATTTTTTTATTTTTTTAAAAGATTTTATTTATTTATTTGACAGAGAGAGAGACAGCGAGAGAGGGAACACAAGCAGGGGGAGTGGGAGAGGGAGAAGCAGGCTTCCTGCTGAGCAGGGAGCCCGATGTGGGGCTCGATCCCAGGACCCTGGGATCATGACCTGAGCCGAAGGCAGTCTCTTAACCAACAGAGCCACCCAGGTGCCCTCAAGTTTTTTTTAAAAAAAGATTTATGTATTTTAGAGGAGAGAGGGAGAGAGAGAACAAGGGGGAGGGGCAGGGGGAGAATCTCCAGCAGACCACCTGCTGAGCGTGGAGCCCAATGTGAAGCTGGATCTCATGACCCTGAGATCATGACCTGAGCCGAAATCAAGAGTTGGAGGCTTATCCCACTGAGCCACCCAGGCATCTCTAGTCTCCACACTTTAGCAAAAGGTAAGTCTCAAGATAAGTTGTTTTCAATTCTATTTCTTTTTTTTTTTTTTAAAGATTTTATTTATTTGAGAAAGAGAAAAAGCGAGAGAAGGAACACAGGCAGGCAGAATGGGAGAGGGAGATGCAGGCTTCCTGCTGAGCAGGGAGCCCGATGCGGGGCTTGATCCCAGGACCCCAAGATCATGACCTGAGCCGAAGGCAGACGCTTAACGACTGAGCCACCCAGGCACCCCTTCAATTCTATTTCTAACACTGGTAACCAGTTGAACAAAGAAATGGGAAAAGAACAATCGTAACTACAGTTTTATTTAGGAGAGGAGTTCTTTATATTTTAAATCCTTTAAAAATAGGTGGGAAGCATAAATAAATAATTGCATGTGGTTAATCATATTTTATAATTCTTACTTTTCATTAAAAAAAAAACAATAGCTGGAGTGGAAGACATGTTTTGTAATCTGGCAATATTTCCTAAATATCAAACTCGAGCATAAGACTTGGTGCAGCTCTTTGGCATAACATTTAAGTTGAACATATTTACCCAATAATTTGTTCTGGTAAAGGAAGAACAATCCTTTCAAATCAATAAATAAGTTTTCTTATCAAATCTCTTTAGATGTTCTGAGTATCAACAAAAGGTCTGATGGGGATATTACTTGTGGTCATTTTCTTATTAAAGTCACTGTACTTATCACCCCCACCCCTTCAGTAATTGGCACATTACCTTTGGCTACATTGAACAGGTTCCATCACTAATTACAAGGTCAGAAAAACTGGCTATTTATTTCTTTAGGATTTTGCCTTTTATTTTTTATTTTTATTTTTTTTTAAGATTTTATTTATTTATTTGAGAGGGAGAGAAAGCACATAAGAGGGGAGAGGGTCAGAGGGAGAAGCAGACTCCCTGCCGAGCAGGGAGCCCGATGCGGGGCTCAATCCAGGGACTCCAGGATCATGACCTGAGCTGAAGGCGGTCGCCAAACCAACTGAGCCACCCAGGCGCCCCAGGATTTTGCCTTTTAAAAAGCAGTTATTTACTTCCCAGACTTAAGAATAATCATAATGAATAAATATGTATCGAAACATACTTTAGTAAGCATGAACTCAGAATTAAGACATTATACCTAGGGGTATGATTTATTAATGACACAAATCAATATATAATGTTTCCAATTAAAGGCAAATTTACGGGGCACCTGGGTGACTCAGTTGTTAAGCGTCTGCCTTTGGCTCAGGTCATGATCCCAGGGTCCTGGGATCGAGCCCCGCATCAGGCTCCCTGCTCAGTGGGGAGCCTGCTTCTCCCTCCCTCTCTGCCTCTCCCCTGGCTTGTGTTTGCTCTCTCTCTCAAATAAATAAATAAAATCTTTAAAAAAAAAAAAAGGCAAAGTCACTACTGACTGTAAATTTCTTCCTTCTCCCCTACATTTCCTGACCTCAAACAAAAATATTTTATGAATTTGATGAATTAGTCAGACTTGTCTCATTCCTAGGCATTTATTGCACAAACAGGAACAGAAAGAGAGGGGCTCCCACAGGGTAAATAAGGTCAAGTCATTTCTTAAAGCACAGAGGAAGGGTCCAGGACATAAACATGTCCCGAACCTAGCTCATTCAAAAGTGTACACATTCTTAATACCAGAACTAAATTCTTCTGTTGGGTTCCTTCTACTTTTTGCCATCTTTTTCCTCTGAGCTTATAGAATATAATTGTGAAATAAGACTTTTTTTTGTTTTTTTGTTTTATACACAGTGTAGTTTTAATGAGTTATGCATAAGGTTATTCCCATACACTTCTACACATAAGTTTACAAACATATATCTAAATAAAGAAAGAAGTTACTTGAAAGACAAATTATACACAGCATAATTTCACTGAGTTAAGAACAGGTCTATTCCCAGATGATTTTAAAATAAGACTTTTAAATGGATACATACGTTTCTGTGGCAGGATCATAAACTTCACAGGAATTCAGCACTCGCCCAGAAACGTTGTTCCCTAAACTTCCACCACAAACATAGATCAGGCCATTGGCTTCCACCATGCCGTGGCTGCATCGCTGAGTCAGCATGCTGGGCTTCGTGTGCCAGCTTTCAGTTCTCGTGTCGTAGCACTCAAATAAATACAAAGCTGAGTTCCCTGTAAAAGAAAAGGGCTTCATCATGCTTCACTTAGTATATGTGTGAGCTGACGGTAGAGCTGGGTCATTAGTTACTGGAGGGAAGAATTTAAAGTTGTAGACTTTTTCTTTTCTTTTTTTTTTTAAATATTTTATTTATTTGACAGAGACAGAGACACAGTGAGAGAGGGAACACAAGCAGGGGGAGTGGGAGAGGGAGAAGCAGGCTTCCCGCTGAGCAGGGAGCCCGATATGGGGCTCGATCCCAGGACCCTGGGATCATGACCTGAGCCGAAGGCAGACGCCTAATGACTGAGCCACCCAGGCGCCCCCAAAGTTGTAGTCTTTTCTAAACTTAACAATAACAGCAAAATGGAGGAATAGCTTAAGAAAAAGCTAACCCTGTTTGTATGGACCTTAGAAAAATATTTTTAAAAAGGATCTGCTGGAGAGACTTATTTATTGGTAATTGGAAATTGGTTTGATTTCAGAAGAAAAGTTAAATAACATTACATATGTCTTCATGCCCAGTTATGCATGATGGGAATTATTCAAACTTTAAATGCTTCCAGAGGAGAAAAGCATAGCTATTTACAGATGGTAAATCCATACCTTAAACTCCGAAAACTACTATCTGATAATATTCTAAAGTTTATCATTTAACATTCTATAGTAGTCACTGTACCATTAACAAAACTATTTTTCCTGACTACTCTCAGTGGCTGTGTGAGTAAGCCCTGAAGTCATGCTGGCCCATTTTTGACTATACTCTCAAGGTATGACTGTATGTCTCTGGTGTGCTTTGATTACACTTTTTTCCCCCAAAGACTTTATTTATTTATTTGGGAGAGAGAGAGAGTGCACACAAGCACAAGTGGGGGGAGCTGCAGAGGGAGAGGGAGAAGCAGGCTCCCTGCTGAGCAGGGAGCCCTATGTGGGGCTCGATCCCAGGACCCCAGGATCATGACCTGAGCTGAAAGCAGATGCTTAACTGACTGAGCCACCCAGGTGTCCCTTGATTACACATTTTAACAGCAAAACATATACATCCTGTCTCATTATAGGGGCTCAATAAAGAGTTTTAGAAATGATACTAATAAAGCAACAAGTGCTTTTTTCCTTCCTGAGAAAAAACTTAAAATTTAACCAAATCCTATCTCATCTCCCACTCCTGGAGTTCTTGCTAATACTTAAAAACAACACCACCCCTAAAATTCTCAATCACAGTCCAGGTCTACAGAAAGCAAAGTTCAGGGAGTAACAAATGGAAGAAGCAATGGTCCCAATTAACAATAACTTCTTTTTAACTTTTAAAATATTTTCAATTAGATTCAGTTCGTTGATATGGCAGACATGAGAAACTAAAGTAAAAAACTGACTTAGTAATTGCTGAAGATACAAAGTTACCTACTCTACTTTCTACAAAAAAGTGTTTCTATAGAACAGATACTTTCTATTATCCTTAGGATTTATTGTATTTGAAATATGCTGTATTAGACATTCTCTAAAAAATGTTTTTGAAGGGGGGGAAGGTCACTTCTTAAGTCACATTTTAAAAAATCTTAGTTTCTAATATTCATTTGATATTTTGTGGGAGAGTAAAAACTTAAAACAGATAAATATGATGACCAAAAGTAAAACATTCTTTGGCCTAATATAAAAATCTCAAATAAAATAAGGACTTAATTAACATTTGAATTCCACACCTTAGGTTTACTTGGTCTTCTTAGTTTTCTTTATAAGCCCATTATTTAGCTAAAGAAATTATTTGAAAAGGTTAAGGCTATTATTAATCTAGTCTGTACCTAAAATATCCACTTAGAAAACTTATTCATTTAGAAAAAGACCACCACTGGACCCTAACAAATTACCCATTGACGAGAAAGATTTTTTACACCCAAAGCCATACCCTGTTCTGCTCAATGAGCATAAAACACCACTACCAGCCATTATATTACATAGTTAAAGAATAAAAGCAAATGAGAAAGATCATTCTTACTTTTTTCAGATACAAAGAAAAGGTAATAAGGTATTTAAAAGTGTGAATGTAATAAAGAGATTTTAAAGGGTCTATGAGTGGAGCCAAACTCTAAAATCTTTAAAGCAAATAATATTATGTATGTAAAACTAATCTAGGGGCGCTGGGTGAGTCAGTCAGTTAAGCGTCTGCCTTCGGCTCAGGTTGTGATCCCAGGGTCCTGGGATTGAGCCACACGTCGGGTTCCTGGCTCTGCGGGGAGTTTGCTTCTCCCTCTCTCTCTGCCCCTCCCCTCCCCTTTCCCCCCTCTCCCGCTTTTTCCTCTCTCTCACAAATAAATACAAATAAAATCTTAAAAAAAATAAAACTAATCTAGATAGAACTAAAATCCAGATGGTGTGAGAAAAAAATGGGACAATTAACATAATTGAGGAAGCTGAAGTTCTTGTAAAAGGATTTTTTAAAGAAAAGTAAGGTAAACCTTCAGGGAAATGGGCTCTAAATGTGACAGATATGTATTTAAATTATCTCAAAAAGACAACACCAACTGTTTATATAAATATGAAAGCCAAGAAACATTTTTGGTAAAACACCTTCCCCAAAGAAAAATACTGAGTCAGTCCTTACCAACTTCGGAACCTCCAGATGTGTAAATTTTGCCTTCTGCAGCACAGGCAGCAAGGCTGTCTCGAGGCGTCGGAGGGCCCAGTTTGGAATACCAGCTATCCTTCACGACATTATAGCAATCCATTCGTTTTATGGGGAAAAGCTGAGAGCCACCCAAAATGTATACTACATTGTCCCAAAACACACATGCTGCATCTCTTCGTTTTTCAAAGGGGCAGCGGATGTCTGTCCAGCTATAATCCTATAAAAGGATAGGAAGCGGTCAGTAAAGTAAAAATACAATTGATACAGATGAGGCAAAGATATAGTTGAGAAAATACAAAGTATAAGAGTATGTTAATTTGCTGGAGTACATATAACAATGTTTGGCTTGAGACAGGATCTAATTTAATCTTGTGTGATTTTTCAGAATGTTGGTTAGCTGGGGCAGAGGGCAAGAGGAAGATGGTGATTGCTTTGGGTGTTTTCTGGCTCCAGATTAAACTCTAATATATTTGGATGTATCACTACCACCAGTCTTCTATTCCTTCTGTTATTAAGGATGATAATACAAGAAAATTCTAAAAGAAGTAGTTTTATTATTTAGAAAAAAACTTCTTTCAAACGTAAATAGGGACACCTGGGTAGCTCAGCTGGTTGAGTGCCTGACTCTTGATTTTGGCTCAGGTCATGATCTTGGGGTTGTGGGATGGAGCCCCATGTGGGGCTCTGTGCTCAGCGGGGAGTCTGCTTAAGATTCTCTCTTTTTGCCCCTCCCCCTGCTCACATACACTCTCTCAAATAAATAAATAAATCTTTAAAAACAACAACAACAGGGGCTCCCGGGTGGCTCTGTTGGTTGAGTGTCTGCCTTCGGCTCAGGTCATGATCCCAGGGTCCTGGGACTGAGCCCCGCATCGGGCTCCCTGCTCAGCGGGGAGTCTGCTTCTCCCTCTGCCTCTGCCCCTTCCCCCTGCTTGTACTCTCTCTCTGTCTCGTTCTCAAATAAATAAAAAAAATTAAAAAAAGAAAACAAGAAGAACAACAAAAAAAAACCCAAATGCAAACATACCCATCCCTTCCCTGCCAGATATATAGAGTGGTTTAAAGAATCATTGGAGGGGCTCCTGGGTGGCTCAGTTGGTTAGGCATGGACTCTTGATTTCAGCTCAGGTCATGATCTTGGGTTGTGGGATCTGGCCTCAAGTATAGCTCCACAGTCAGTGAGGAGATTGCTTGAGATTCTCTCTCTCCCTCTGCCCCTCCCCCAGCTCATACATATATGTACTCTCTCTCAATCAATAAATAATATATAAAAAAAAAATCACTGGATAATATAAAGCTTAAACTGTTATCCTACTGATGTCTAAAGCTAGAAGATATTTTGTAGACCTCTGTGATAATAAATTTTTACAAAATATTCAGTTGAGCCAGTTTATTCAGCTGGACTCTTAAGGCTGTGATATTTACTATGAAATACTTGAGTAATCTGTTTTGACTAGTCTGCAAACTCACTTTTCTCTTCCCGATGATTAGAAATGAGCATGTATCAGTACTTCACAACAAGGGCTGTTCACAGGTTCATTTAGTTTCCTTACTGTGTTTGGCACATCCAAGGATATATTCTTTTGAATGATCTTTTAGACATGCTACTCTTCAAATCAAAAATAACTGCCCATGTAGGAGCTGGGATTAAAAACACAAACAAAATACATTTTCTTTTAGCTAAATGAACATTTAGGCACTAGGGTATGAAGTTCCAATAAAAAGGGGAAATAATTCCCAAGAGTTTGGTAACAGAATAGTTCTAATTTTCTAGTACTACTCAAGAGTTTGAGTAAGGAATAAATGAGTACTCATATGAACCTGTCATATAGGGCTTAGGCTTCAGATTTAAGAATTAAAAATAAATTGCTCTCTTGGAACTATAAGCCCAAAGGAGAAATGATTAGCCAGTGTGTGTGTGTGTGTGTGTGTGTGTGTGCAGTGTGTATGTGTGTGTGCACACACGTGGGACAAGAAAGGCACATGCTTCTATCAACTTATAATATGGGCTCTGATTTCCTTAAATATCCTCAAGTTTTTTTTGAATATCCTTAAGTTTTTTAAAATTTTTTTATTAAAAGATTTTATTTTATTTATTTGACAGAGATACAGTGAGAGAGGGAACACAAGCAGGGGGAGTGGGAGAGGGAAAAGCAGGCTTCCTGCCGAGCAGGGAGCCTGACGCAGGGCTCGATCCCAGAACCCTGGGATCATGACCTGAGCCGAAGGCAGACGCTTAACGACTGAGCCACCCCGGTGCCCCTATCCTCAAGTTTTTTAAATCTTTTTCAACTCTCCAAATACCATCATTGGTTAAAGTACTAGACACTAAATGTTAGACACTAAGTTTGATCAATACTGACTATATTTAATATTCTGCCTAATAGTTTATCTTCTAGGCAGATGAAATGACCTTTGCAAGAATTTTACCTAGAATGCAAGTACGATTTCATTTCAGCTAAGATTTAATGTTTTACATTTGAGCTCATTAAATATACCCGTCAGGTGTTAAACGCACCTGTGTTTGAAAACACCTGGCTTTGGCTGTATCCATGTACGGAGGGAAGCTTTTTTCCCGTGTGTGTGTATGGGTAGATCTCACTGGAAAGTCTAATTCTCCCAATCTGTACCTCATCCAAAACAGAATACTAAGAAGGTGATTTGATGTTTGCCCTTTAATAACTTGTTATACTGCCTAGGAGATAACATGTGTAGTTGAGGAAACAAGCAGAGAAGGTAAAAATATAGATGAGAAGTCAGACTTATAAGCTCCATAGATATGAATGCCAGGTCTTATCTTAGTGATGGGACTACTCCCAACATGGGGCCTGCAGGCAGAGGAAGGGTTGCTTAAGGCTCCCTGAGGTCCTGGGCTACAGGTCAAGCTAGAGGGACATGCAGCTTTTCTGTCAGCAATAAGATAGATACATAGCAGCAGAGTTACAGTGTATGTGTGTGGGCAGAGAATTGTTACTCTAAAAACATAATTTAATTCAGTTAAGTTTTACTGAGTATCTATTTCATGCAAGGTTCTGTGCTTGGCTGAGGAGAAGATATGAAAATGGGAAAATTGGATTCCAGCCTGGAAAAGACAAAGGTAGAAGTTTTGACAGATCACCCATCTATGCATCCACACACATACATATTCATGTATAAAGTCCTGTCTTCCCTCGTCCTAGTTAGCCTTTCCTGTCTCTGCTGTGATACACCACATTCTAGACTTTCAAGCTCAAGGTCGAGGGCTCCTTTCCTTTTTGTAGGCTTCCCTGACTGCCTTGTTCTGAATCCCCACCACACTAAAGTCTGGGCTTGATGACTGAGTGTTCCATTACATCTTGTCCTGGGTGATTTTCCACCTGTAGTGCGATGCTACAGGACAATGAAATGCTTCTTGAGGTGAGGGGCTGTAATAGCTTCTCTAAATCCCCCCAGCAAAAACATCAGCCTGCTATTTTCCTTGAGAGTAAGGACTGATTTTATACTAATCTGCATTCTGAAAAACACATGAATCTTCAAATAATAGAGATAACACAGATGTAGATTTTAATAATCAAGACAACCAAAATCCAAAATAAAAGAAATACTATTTATTTGTAAGACCCGAGAATTTTATTTTGGATCATTTTGAGAGGAAACCAAGCAAAAACAGGGAAAACAGGTCTTAGAAAAAAAGGAAAGCAAAATTAACAAAAATGTAAAACCTTAAGATTTCTTGCAGAAACTTCAAGGAGTCAATCTAATCTGAGTTTAAGATGACCAAATTATAAGCACTTTCTGTTAAGCCATTTATCTAATTTTAGTTTTTTTTTTTTTAAAGATTGTATTTATTTGAAAGAGAGAAAGAGAGCAAGTGAGCATGAGCGGGGGAGGGGCAGAGGCAGAGGGAAAAGCAGACTCCTCCCTGATCAAGAAGCTCAATGTGGGGCTTGATCCCAGGAACCTGGGATCATGACCTGAGCCGAAGGCAGACGCTTAACTGACTGAGCCACCCAGGCACCCCTAATTTTAGTTTCTAAGAGTTGTTTAAAAAATAATCACAGAACTATGGCAACAATCTATATAGAAAGCAGGTTTATGCCAGATGTAAGAACATTCCCAGAAGTAGTTTCATGAAAAATGCATAAAAACACTTCTGGCTTCATTCATTTCACAAGATCACAAAGAATGCAGCTCTAGGGAGCTGGGAAAGGCGGGCACTGAGCTAGGCTGTAGAGAAGCTATGGGTCGCACGGAGTCACTTCACCTTTCAGGGATGTTAGCTCCCTTTCCCATGAAACAAAAAGACTGAACTAGATGATCTTAGAGCCCTCCCCCACTTTCAGCCCTAAAATCCAATGATCTTAGGGTCCAAATGATTTAGAAAAGCATCGCTGAACAAAGAGCTACTAGTTAATTTATTCATTATCGAGCACTTCCCTTTCCAGGAACTATGCTGAAATATCTTAAAACATTACTTTATTTAATTTCCTCAATAATCCTATGAGGTAAGAACCTTATCTAACAGATAACAAAATCTTAAGAGAGTTAAGTACCATGTCAAACGTTATAGAGTTAGAAAGTGGTAACCCCAAGATTTAAGTTCAAATTTGTCAGACTCCAAAACTGCACTCTTAACTCCTAACACTGCCCTGCTTCTCTAAAAATCTTATTACAGGGCCTCCTAGAAAGAACACTGGTTTGGGAATGGAGTAATCTGGGTTCTTCCCGTTCCTGTTGTATTTCTAGCTAAGTCACTCCAGGTATCTGACTTGACATCAAAGGACCTGAACCAACCTCATCTACAAATCATACAAATCGGGAAGTTGGAAGGATGGCTGTGAAGTCCTCCTGCACAGCCTCCATATCTTATCACTTAGAAAAGCAATGCTTAAGCACTAAAACCACAGCTACTCTGAAAACGGGGATTTCCCCCCTGTCTTTGTATGGTATTTGGCCCAAGGCTTAGCACACTGAAGGGAATATTTCTATTGAGTGTTAGGCCACAGTTGTGGAAAAGTATGTCTCATCCAGCTGAGCCATCTTCATTTTATACTTTCTAAAGGTCAAAGACTACAGATCCTGCACATGGCTCCTAGCACTGCAGTGCTGCCTTTAAATTACACTGACTCCAGGATGCATCTTGTCACTCTGGCCCCTGGTCCTTTGGTGGCTGCACTACTGAGGGACAGGAAATCTGTGACAACCAACAAACAGTACCTGATGTTAGAAACCAGGCTT